AAAATAAAGTAGTTTTCTGAATACTAAACGATAGGTCACGTTTTGGCGATTTCTCAAAACCGCGGATGTGGCGTGCTGTATTTGTTTGAACTTTCAAATAGTCTATCTCTGTCAACACTAGTAATAGTGGGAAAATTATTTTCTATTTCTTGCCAAATCTGACCGAATGCTGAGTTTTTTTTATATACCCCAATATGTTGGCTTCGCGGGTTGTAAATTTTGTTTTCAAAATTCATATCCCAATTTTTCCCAAGTCACCTTTGTATTGAAAATATTTTGTCCTTCCAAATGATAGCAGCCACATATGTTTATCATAGGTCTTGTTCGGGCAAAATGCTCAAATCTGCATTGATTTTGACAGCGAAATAGAATGTTCTTTACATGATTGGGTGGGTATACGTGAGAAAGTATTTGAATTCGAATCTACGAGCATCATACGCATACACGATTTGCATTACAATAATGTGGTTATAAAATATCTTCATGTAATTACTGCAATGTTTTGCGAATGTTCACCTCATAATATGCCGTCATCAAATCTTGATTGACCTGAAGGAGTAATGCTCCAATGTATTGTAAGTTACGGATCGACATAATTCTACATTCCGATGATATTTCTCGATTTGTTTCGAGTATAATAAACATTATAATGAAACGCATTTTAACGTATTTCGTCGTTGATAAAACATAAATAGTATTATAGTAGAACATATTCGTTTGTACTTTCACATATATTTTGAAGTTTTTGAGGCGTAGTCTCTTTGAATAGGGATATGAACAAGTAGTCACGGATACTCATCTGGTGTTTCTTTCCCGTTCGGCACAGACAATACATATTTTACACCGGATTTCCATACCGGAGATTACTTCTCAACAGTGCTGATTTCGTATCTATTACGGGGTAATGTCAGTCGTTGAATTTGAGTGCAGCGCATTAAATAAAGTATTTGAAAACAAACTAATTATAAATCGGGTTAATGATAGCTAAATGAACGGATACACCGTTGCCCGAGGCAAATTATTTCATTTGGAGATTTCTCCTGAATCCTATCACTAGCGTGTTACGATATGTGATTAATTAATGCGCTATGCAAGGGCAACAGACTGTGATGACTTTACGTATCAATTTATTACTTATTGCATGCTTGTGAGGTGAAGTTCATTAGTGAAGTATAGCTAGCTCTGGTCACCTCTCTGAAGCTTCAATGTGAAGTAACTATGGTTGAACGCATTCGTTTTTTCTTTATTGCATATTACGTACCAAATCTTTCTATAAGACGCTCAAGTGATGAGGGCGAAGTCTACAGATTATATTTATGTGGATTGCCTGCTTAATAATATTATTTAATACATTTCGTATAGAGCACAAAACGCATGTAGTAAAATATAAAAGTACACTGCTTCACTGTGCCGGTTTAATAAGATTCTTGTTACTTATTATTTTTTTTCCTTACACCGGAATAGTGGGATATTAGGCAATTTCATTAGAAATTGCAAGTGGGAAGTTTATTTACTCATGGTCATATCTGATAGTAGACCAGATTACTACTTACCTTCTAAATTACTTCCATAGGTTTGCTATAAACTTTCGGTGGAGAATTTATTAGAATTTCGTAATGGCTTCAAGCAATTTCGCGTTAGCGCTGATAGCTTTCATCATTTAATATGATGAGAGAAAAAGGTTTGTTTCAATTTTTTTTACCAAGGCCATAGTTGGCGTAGTCTCTCTACTCCGCGTGTCAATAATCCACGGTAGCGTGCACGAATTGCGTGTGAAGTATCGGCTATAACCGAGCCTTATCGTGCAATCACCATGAGCACTCAAAGCATAAGATTGTGTTGTGTGTAAATGTGGTTCTGGTAAATAAATGTTAAATGAGAAAACAAACACTTTTCACGTGCGTGCGAGTCACAGCCAAGCCACAGAGTGGATTTATGTACTTTTGCTTTATTACTTTTCAATATTGGAATAGTGGGTCAAAAAAGGTCACATCATAAATGTATGGCAAAGGTTTGGCGTTTACAGATCACCCTGAACAACTCTACGGGCGATAGGCATGGATTGATGGTCTAGAATGAAACTCAGTTTGGGGCCTTCAAGAAGTGGTAAACGTATTTTGGCTAGCACGTTTATAATAGTTGCCCCCCCCCCCCAAACACACACACCCCACACACACAAATCCACCTTAAACTAGTACTATGGCGCATGGGTCAGTTAGGATTGGAGTATAAGTCATTCTGTTATGATTTCAATTGCTCTTAATCGATGCTAACTAGTTCAGGCCGAGGAAGAGCGCTATACTAGCACTGTTACTCGTATACATATTACGAGATTCAAACCATTCTCATATTTCGTCACGAAAAACGTGAAAACGTCAGTGTAAATCCTATTATAAATCACGCGATTGCTTCCCACGGAATATTTGAACTCGTCGCCAAATGTACATAATATAAAACTAATGATTTCATTCATCTGGCAGTCCAGCGGTAGCCAGACACGTTTCATTTCGGTTTCACTACATTTTATTTTTTTATATTTTTAAGTATATTTTAGATAGAAAATTTGCGTCATTGCAAGTCATAATTAATATTCAATAGTACGTATTCGTGCAGCGTTTCATTATTGAAGTATTGACTTATTTTACGTGCTTGAATTGTGTCGAAATCACGTGATCGCGTGAGAAGAGAATAGGTTTCTTCTCTTCGTTCAACTTTGTAATTAGCGGTCGGAAGAGTGAAGTATGACCGCAATGTGACACAGCAGATAACTAACCTAGGCTCGCATGCAACTAAAAGCGTCGATAAATAAATATTAATTATTATGCTTAAGCTGACGATTTTATTTTCGACTCTACATGACACGCAATCTAAAAGATTTGGCTGAAACAATCTAATCTGGTAATTCCGATTATCATGTTTGACTACACAGGGCCTTTTATTCACTATTTGAATACTAAACTTCATCAAAAAAAATTTCATTGTATTTAAATACATACATAATATATTCTAGTTCGAGTTTGCTTTTATTCAAAACAAAATGTCGTATTTTACCCTGTTGCATATTTGATTTCGTTGGAGAAATGCGTGAATGCTTACTTTGGCCTTGTGTATGCTTTGTACAATGTGCACACGTAACGACCAATGCAAAATGAAGAGTCTCAAGTCTGTATGCCGTCAGTCTACTGGTATTGGAAAACGCGACACGCACATACCAAGGAAAGAGACACCGTTGCCATTCTTGAAACCCGACCCGAAGGTTCGCGTGCCAAATTGTAGTTTGTTAAATATCTATTTTCGGACGCTAACACGATGCGGTTTTCCAATTTAGACCAATAGAGATATATTTACACGATTAAATGAATTAATTACCACGGCGTCGATTTACTATGTTATTAAAAATCCCAGACGACCAACTTCACTGAGATAGTTTGAAGATCTGAACAAAAACTGTTATTCAAATCTGTAATCAAATATCAAATCGGATAATTTAATAGGTTTAAATTTAAATCAATTGTCAAAATAATATATGGTATTTATGATATTTTGGGTGCACAATACCATGAGAAGTCTATATAACATTTTTAGTCGTAGAAGCCAGAAGGTTACGCGACCTTTTTGAAATTCAAAATAGTAACATTGCATGTGATTGATTGCAGCTCGAAAAGTTGACATTTCACGTTAAATCTCGGTATAGAACAATATATATATAAATGACTTTGATTTCACTTTGCAATTGAAAGTTATCACGCAATGTAACTAACGCGCATAACATATGGCAAAGTCATTATATGACAGTAAAGGATTGAATCATTTATGAACAATGGTTGCTGATTGACAAATTAATTTTTCATAGGCCCTGACCTGGTTCAGAAATTTTACTCATTCTTTTAATTTAAATTGCTATTTAAGCCACTTGAAAATGGAAAATATTTGGAATTATCGGTAAATGCAATAACGATATGTAAAAAAAATAACCAATAACGATATGTAGTTATTTTTAACGTGAAAAAACTTTGACAAGTTTTGATGTGATTATTTTATTATCAGCAGTGAATTTCCCCCTTTTAAATTGCAAGTGTGAGTTTGCTTTGAATAATCGTACATAAACGTGTAACCGAGCGAACTGGAATTGTACTTCCTAGCTGCATGTGAAATTTATTACGAATAATTTTACGATCCTTTTTGTTTGATCTATCGCATCGAAATGTAGTTTGTCATCCTGTTTATTTCTTTTTATTGGTGTAACGTGTAGGCTATTACCAATGCATATTTGTTGTCATTTTCAAGAATTCAATAAAAGTCGTGCCCGTTTGTCTTCCCGAGTAGTCGTGTACTGTTATAATACATTTAAACTTTACTCTTACACAATTGATGCCATTGATAATACTCGGAGCTTAATACTTTGTGCTTTTGTTATATTGTGAACTGTCGTCGTATAGTCACGCCGTGTTATAAAGAATAATAATACGCGGCGGAAGTGAGATACCTTTTGGAGATCCATTTGATGATTGAGTCAAAATAGACCAAATTATTGTGGCTGAAATAATATGTCTAACCAGTTAATGCGTTAGCAGACTTTGAGTTTATCCTACCCGCTTAGAATATATATTATGTTTTTACGCTTCGAGAAATTTCTTCCGCTCATTTCAGTATTCACTCAGAAAGTATATATATAATACTGAAGAAAAGTCTGTTAAATTTAATTAGGAAGGAAGCACTTTGTGAGTCGAAAATAAGTTTCAAAAGCGGGTTTTGAATGCACATGTTTTATGATGATTTTCATACCATCCTCAATCATTATGGTTGAAAAAATTCATGGACTTGGACTAATCAAGAAAGAAAAGCGTGGATGAAATAGAAAAACACTCTACATTGTAATTTCTAGATTTTATTGTCCTGTCCTGACCCATCTTGTGGTTGTCATCCATGGCGAATTATTTTTTCCAGAGAGAAAATAAATTCAGTCGAATATATCGTATAGATGAGCTAAACGTTTTCAAATACACCAGATGCTTACCGTGCTGAGAGCATCGTACAGCGCCGACACGATATTTTCTCTAAATTTAAAATCAAATTTGTTTTTAGCTTGCAGTGGTTTATGAAGTGTGGCATAAAGCGGATAGAGTATTTTAGCGCTGATTGCGAATGAAGGTCATCCGCGTATATAAAAAGCCTTGGAAATGTATGTTTCACAACGGAATATATTATGGGTACCGTCAATAGTGGAATCTGCCGTTTTTATTGGAACGTTTACTATGACATACTACCTGCTGAAATACGCTAACGTACGAATGAATACTTCAATTGGGAAAGCAAAAGTAAAAAATAAGGAAGAAAAGATTCTCAAGGAAAAATACGATGAAGCGCCCTTTGCTCCAGGACCGTGGTCGTGGCCCATTGTTGGTAATGCAATCTCCCTTGGAGAAGCTCCACATCTCACTTTTGATGAGATGACTAAAACTTATGGCCCGATATTTCGAATTAGATTAGGGAAGTTTCCAGTTATAGTGTTGAATAATACCAAAGTTATTAAAGAAGCTCTCAATCGACAAAGGGAAGTATTCTCAGGAAGACCTCATTTTGCATCCTACAAATTAATTTCACTGGGCCTTGGCGCAGTTTTTAACGATACGATTACTATTGGGGAGTCATGGCGTGAACTAAAGAGTAAAATGGTTCGGCATATTCATACCTACGCTGCCTCAGTTGACAAAAGATTGGCGGTTTCACAGCACATTTGGGATGAAACAGTTTATATGACCAAAACTCTTGAAAAAATGTGTGCAGAATCGCCTACTGGATACGTTGATCCCGAAACAGTAATTCGTGTGTCAATTGGAAATGCAGTATGTGCTATGTGTTTTGGAAGGAGATATGAAGTTGACAATGCAGTAAGTGTATTATTTTGTATTGGTGCTCCATTGCTGATGTCGTCATGTTAACCCCATACAAATGATGACGTCATCAGTAAAATAATAAAACATAACGGTAGTACACTTATATTTTTAAATAATTAAGGGAGAACGCGTGATATTTTAAAGTTATTACATTAAATAACATCGATCGCCATTTATCTCATAACCCCTTTTAATCATATTGTACAACCAAGTATTATTCGATAATCACACTAAATTGCAATTGAAGGACAATAAAATTCTTACTTGCGGTATGTGCGTTACTAATGTTATGCTCCGGTCTTCCGTATAGGCTTGAGTTTATCTAAATTTTATCAACGTACGCTCTTAATTTTAATTTATGTTTTTCGAAACCTCTGTGAACCTAAAAATCATTTTGCTGTAATTATATATAAACTACATAGACACCAGGTGGCAAGCGCCAAATCGACACGATTTGTGGAAAAAATAGAAACGTAATAGCCTAATAGCAATGTTGATATGCAAGATTGTTTAATTGATGATTCGTCGATAACTTCTGTTGGCAAGATGTCAATTTTTGCCACTTGTTGAGTAGTGAAAACAGATCAAAACGTTCTGATAATGCCTGCAAACAAAACTATGCATTTAATGTTTAAAATTGACTTAAACTACTGTCATCTGATTGTGATCTATTGGATTTCCTTATATAACCGTGATTGCGCGTTATCGATGCAAAATACTTTTGATGTAACCGATGCAATCGACTGCTAAAATGTACCACAGTGCAGGGTGTGATGTTAGGTATCTCTAGCCCGTACGAAACACCGCAGCCCTGTTGCAAAACCAGTTCACGGGATTGAGATTTTTCAAACACATCAGCTTTATCAAAGTTCGTTATGCAAACGTAGTCTGGTGTCGTATCTGAAGACTGGTGGTTAGCTATGTGGCGTGTCGGAATTTTTGGTTGCATTATATTGACGTTTGTCCCCACCCATTGTATTTTTATAAGATCCTCGTATAATCATGAATATAAAGAAATGCTTATCTGATAGGATTCTGCTTCGCTATTTAGTGGCGGTTTTTCTGTGAAGCAAACAAGAGGCGCAATTTCGAGTTGCCTCCTGGTCACGGTACAAGGAAATTTTGAGTTACGAAGATCACTAAAAATGACCCATAAATTGTTGTTCTAAATTTGGTTGGTTTTTTTTCTATATCGCAAACTCGCGCCACTTATCGTTACTGAAGGACTGAACATACCTGTGTCCCATACATCTCTTAACCACCCCACAAGAGTCGACTAAGAGGAAGAGAAATAAGCGTTGTTTCTTTTTTTTAATTTATCAAAAAAAGCTTGTTTCTTTCGGTGTTCTTAAATTCCACTGCTCTATTTTTAGCGACGACGTTGCGAAAAAATATGCAACTCCTATTGGTCCCCAGCGCCCGCTACGATAAAGCTTGTCATGGTAGAACGCTAGTGAATAGGCCACATACTCAAAAAAAATGTTACCTCAGTATAGTCTGCGACGTTGTCACGAATCTTGGTCGCGGGCAAAGTTGTGCATTGGAGCAAAACACAGAAGTGGCTTCCTCAGTTCGAAATATCACGTGGTTTTGGTTTGACAAGACATCATGGAGATTTGATTACATTGACTTCGACGCTGCTCCCGGCGATGTAGATCGGACCCTAAATTCTCCTGATAAACTTATGTGATATCTGCGTATGTGCCGACGGCGGGTGTAAATTCAGTGCTGACGCATATAAACTCAACCTAGCTCAATTTTCTGATCTGGTTAAATAAACTTTGAATTTTATAGCCGCTGTAACGTCGTGTTAGCACTGATAGTTAGTTTTCAGTTTTTCTTATTGTTTCCTCGTCCAATTTTCTGCCTCTACAGAAAGAGAATTTATCGCTTGTGAACTTGTATGCTATGCGCGGAATAGACTCTTGATGTACTCTGAATATGAACAGGGAAAAAAATGGCTATACATTACTTTAATATTTATTTGTTATTCAAACTTAGTGCCGGTATAATTTCTATGCAGAATATACTCTTTTTGTCCCTTTGCCTGCTTTCAAAACGCAAAACTATGAAGTTATTCTCTAGTACAAACAACGAGTACAAATAATATTAGAAGTGTATTTGGAAGCGCCTAAAATTTCTTTTTGACAATTGCGCGGATGGATTGGTACTGTTTCACACATCTTGCCTGTGGTGTTCTATTTCACCAATCATGCACATTGAGCTGAAAACTTGTCTCCGTGGATTCAAGATATTGCCAATGCTGTCACAACTTTGCCCTATATCATCTTTCAGTTACATGTACAATCAACATTATAATTATTAGTTTAATTCTTCGATAAAATACAAAATGGAGTTTGTTTAACTTCCAAAATTTGGATATTCCTTCATTTTCCACAGTATGTATTGCACATCCGTTTTCGTGGATAATTGTTTGGGCTCTTCGCGTGCTTAGTATCACAAAACATCGATCAGCTTTTGCATTTAAAAATTTTGTGGTGCCAGCCTCGCGACAATTATCACAACAATTTTACTACTTAATCTCGATAACTATGTCAAATTCTCACAGTTTTTGGATGATAACACTTTCTCATTTTTCTTTATCTGTTGTACATAACTTGTTTGACATTTTCATATCTTGTCAGACTTGTGGTATAAGCTTTCAACGATTTGATTTTGATTATTTTAAACTTTTAACCAAAAAATATCATCAGCTAACTAGTCCGCGATTCAAAAATGTAATTTCGTTGTTGGTTATATAAATTTACAAATTGTTTTCAAAACAGTATGTGCACTTATGCATATGTTTCAAAATATGGAGTTTTATATCTAAATTTTTTGAGCATAAATTGTGGTGAAAAAAAGGAATAAATCAATCAGTCAAAGACCCTGTTATTGCATTCGAAAAATTGCATGTATAAAGTCTTGTGTTGGCTTCAAGGTCATTTCAAAGTCGGGAATGTGACTGTCACATATGATATGCAAACAATTTTGATTTTATTTAGTTGTCATAATAATTGGATGCCGCAGCTCTATCTCAAATATCATTGCATATATAATAGATTGACCAAACTCAAACATATTAGGCCCTTATATAAATATTCATTTTATAAGCACAACCACACATGAAAAATAAAATACTTTCTAATTTTCATTATAGCCTTGGATATGCCAACTCAATTATCTTTATCAATAATCGCTCTGGTTTATTCGTGTGCCTTAGGGGTGCTGTGGACTGAGCAACCATTCTCTATACTGTCATCATACCGACGGTAATCCCATAATTTTTTGAGATGCCGAGGCAAAACTATGCGATCGGAATACAGATAAAATGAAAATATAGACACGTTGTATATTTCTAACACATGAAATTGATTGTGGATTGAAAATGTGGAACAACACATGAACAAAAATGTCGTTGTATACATCGAATTTACCTAGGTATGCTCACTGAGAAATAGTTTGGTACTCCATAATTCTGCCTTGCAACTATATTCGATTTCGAAAAATATCCTAATTGATATATTTTGCATCAAAAGCATGAATTTGTCACAAAAACGAGAAGTTTTCTCGTAAAAATTCAGAAATGTTAATAAAAGCATTTGATTTAAAAAAAAAATGTTCCAGAATAACAATAGTTTGAATTGCACTTCAAAGTAAATTTTTTAGAACTCTCTTTTTTCATATAAGAAATTGTTATCTCCCTTCAATGTTATTCATATATATATATTAACAATAAATTTGCATACACATTGTTTACTTAGTTTACGTATACTTGACAGCAAAGCAGATTTCAGCATAGATGAAATGGTTGGAAACTTAGGTTGTATTCATACTACATCGAAAAAATGCATTGCTCGACATGGTATAATCCCGGATTGAATTTCCCAATGTTTGAAATGTAAATTTGACGACATTTTTTATGGCAAAATGGCTTCATTGTCATAGCTTTGTCCATGGTTTGTCAATCGTTATATCAGCGTTTAACACGAAAGTGGTAAAAATTAGTAACTCGTGAGAAGTCGGTATGATCCCTGATTCAATTTCTTGTATAAATAGGTAATGGATTATATAGGTTATATCAGATATTTTAGCTCCGATTTAGACCCCCCTGCTCTGTCTCCTAAAAATATCTAATTTTGCTTTAAACGTTTTCATACATCAGTTGTTGAGGAAGTGGGTAAAATTGGATAAAATTCAACCATATGTGTGATAAAATGACCCTTGGAATATCATGCCCTAATTTAAATTGAAAAGTTGAGGCATTGTAATCTATACGATAAAAATTAAGAAAATAGCTCTTTGTGTCATTCATTGAAAATTAAAGCTGGCTGGGATTCATTGACAACTAAAATAACTGAACCTTCTGTGTCTCAACTAGTGGGAACCGTTTTTTTGTGGGAGAGTATGCCGTGGATACATTATTTATTCATCTGAGGGATACATACTTATTAAAAAATCGAATTGTTTCATTTTTTAAAATAAAGTACTTAATAAAGTCATTATATTACAGCAATTCGTTCAACTGCTGAGTATGAACAAAGAATTTGGCGTTGTGATCAGTGCTGGAAGTCGGATTGACGTTATGCCATGGATCAAGGTATAAAATAAGTTATAAATTTAAGTGAAATTCAAGCATGGAATGCTAAGTACACTAAGGCTTTTGTGGTTGGTTAAGCTTTTGCGACGGGCGGTTTTAAACGAATAGTCTTCAAAACGGGAACCGAGGAAGTTGGATTGCTTTTTTTCTGCGTTATTTTGATCGCTTTTGCTGGTTGTTATCAGTTGTAACCAAATAAAATATTTTGAAAATGTAATACTTATAAAAGATTAAGTTAATAAGTTCAGATAAACAAGACTTTTTTCGCTGTGTTTCTACAAATCTTTGCATTTTTTTACAGGAAAATTGTCATTTTTGTCAAATTTTTTTTTGAGTGAATCTTCGAACACGTTATGATTTTTTAGTAAAATAAATTCATTTTAAATATTCGAAATCAAAGGTAATTGCACGATAGAATTCTAGAATATCAAACTATTGGGATATGAACATCTTTAACTACAATTGAATTTAATATTACATAGACTACCTAAATTTTTGGAAGTCCTTCTTAATATTTCAACTGAAAAGAAGTTTAAAGAAATGCTAATGTACTGTCATGTACAAACTACCAAACTGCATTCTGCATTATAACTTATTCAACTCAACTCACTGGTTATTTAGACAGCTTTTCGGTAGTAGCGTCATTATCGAAAACGTAATATAATTCTAACATGTTTAAAAGTTATGGTTGAAAGATATTGGAGGCCAATCGTAACACTATATTATAACTACATTGACTGTGTTATAATTTCTTTATTTATTATTGTAAATAATTTTAGATATTTCCTTACTACAAGAAGGCTGCAAATGAATTTCAAGCACTTTGTTTACGTATGGAAAACTGGGTTCTTGACAAGTGAGTGGGAAATTTTGACATTTACCATCACCCGATTCGAAGGGTCAACTTGACATTAGTCCGATCTCAAACTACTTAATTCTCCCACAAATGTCTTTATTTGCTAAGCTGGTAGAGTGTCCATTGAAATTAAAGCAGTTTCATTCATTGAATAATATGATATGCTGTTTTAGTCAAGAAATTTTTAGTATGTTGCTACTGTTTTCGAACAAATACTAGCCAACAATGAACCCCATGTAGTCAATTTTGATTGATATTTTTTGATTAAAATGACGAAAACTAAAAATTGCGAGATTTAAAAACACCTTTTCTGCCTAATCGAGTTTATTTCGATGTCTGAAGAGACATTTGTCTTTAAGTTGAAATCGCTTCCATACATAGAAAGTTCCACGATAATGTTTTTGTGATAAGATAAAAAGTTTTCCAAGAGGACTCGGCAAAAGTTCTATCATTCACACACAATAAGCCATTTAAATATTTTGAAGATGAATTTTAAGAGACCGTTTTTTTTTTATTTTATCAAACTTTATTTTGTCCTCTAACAGCCATTACGATGTCACAACGGTATTATACATGTATCTGATAAGCAAAAAAATAATTATTGTTACCTAAATTTCAGAGTGACAAAAAACATCGAAACGTATAAACCTGGTGTTGTTCGAAATTTGATTGACTCATTGACAGAAGCTGAACTTTTTGAAAAAGAAAAAATGTATCATACAATACCAGAAGGACGTAGAGGGTCAAACAACAATAATAACCCTAAAGATATTCCAGTCACAGAACAAGTCGACCATAGACTATTGTCCGCAATTGTCAATGATATTTTTGGAGCTGGACAAGATACGCTTTCCAGTGCATTTTTATTCGTTCTCCATTATATGGTCAGGTATGTGTTTCCTGTGTTGTGCTCAGGGCCGGATTTACTTATAGGTTTGGCAGGCTGGAGCCAAGAGTCTCAAAATACCTGAAGACTTTGTTATTTAGAATTGAACTATCAATCATTTTTTATTCGTTAACCGGTTTAAAACCTATAAAATTAAAATTTATTTCATTTTTTAACAAAAAATTTGTGAAATAATTTTATTCTTGTTCTAAATATTTCTTTCTATATATTTTATTTACCCCAATATTGCCTTTATTTTTTGCATAAGATGAGAAACTGATAATGGATTTTTTATTATTAGCCATGACCCCCTCCCTCGCGACTAGAAACGAGTATTATGACGTCACGCTTTCTGTTGCCATGACATTATGTTACAGTCTTGAGCTGTTTTAATTGTATTCAAATACAACTTATTACCAAATATACTTGCGTGATCGGTGTACTTATCTAGCCTGTAACTAAAATTTCATATTTAGGCAACCTTTTTAAATTCATTTATGACGTCAAAATAATACAAATTTTTTCTATAAAGGAATGTCTATATATTTGTGGAAGATTATTTTGCTTCGAGTAGTAGATTAAAACTTATATGTTTATAATGTTCAGATTTCCGGATATACAAAAGCGAATAAGAGATGAAATTCTAAAAATTACGGGAACAGACCGGTTGCCAACTCTTGCCGACCGTCCGGAACTGCCCTACATGGAAGCCGCGTTTCACGAAATAATGCGACATTCAAGTTTTGTTGCGATCACCATCCCTCATCTCACATTGTCGAACACTATCTTATGCGGATATAAAGTGCCGAAAAGCACGATGGTTTTCATTAATCAATATACTGCAAATAGAGATCCTACTGTCTGGGACGATCCTTATTCTTTCAAACCAGAAAGGTTTTTGAAATATGTAAGCGGACATTGCAAATTAGATCCCGTTAAAGTCAACAAATACACCATATTTTCAACGGGAGGCCGCAAATGTCCCGGTGATGAGCTTTCAAAAATATGGATGATGCTCTCTATGGCACTTATTTTGCACCAATGTGAACTAGTGGCGGATCCAAACAATCCTCCCACAGATGGGATATGTTACGGTCTAACGATGAAACCCCGTAATTTGCGACTGAAATTGCGGAGACTTGAATCGAGTATAGTGACATAATTTACCAACCTCGCCTAGTTTTAACCCAGAATGTTGTAAGGGTTGCACTGACCCGTAACGGGTGTGTCTTGCGCTGAGCTTGGAGGGACGATGCGGAAATATTTGATGCGATGTTTCAACAAGAAGCAAGAAAAACTTACGCTAGGTTTTCTATTGTCAACGGTTCAGACAATGGATTATTTGGTCTCGTTTTTTTGGTTGAGAAATCAGTTCAAATCACATGATTTGTGAAACATCATATGCGTTTTTATAGAAAACCTATTATACCTCAGTAGTTTGTATCATGTTTTTACTCGCTGTAATTTGAGCGTTTCAATGCCCTTTTGATTAAATCCCTCGGTTTTTTTTACTTGAAACTGACATTTAAAACAATTTGCATCATGTCTCTAGAAAGCTTGCGTAGCAATTTGGCGACAATGATTAAAGCCGTGGTTCTTTGTGCTGGTAGGCTTTTGTCTTATCCAATGCAATCGATGCCGGCAGACATATTTTATCCGCGAAAAGCTATTATCATTAAATTTCCCTCGCCGGCTGCACTTGCGCTTTCTGTTATCAAGGGATTAATATGAGACCTTGCGCCCCGGGCATGATACGTCATAATTGCGTATTTAGTTTTTGGATACTTTCAAGCAATGTGTGAATGCATACCCTTTATATCTCCGGCACAGCAGATTTTATCACCCTCCGTCCAACCGCAAATTCGCAACGAAGTCTGTTTAAACGCTACAATGCCATCGAAAACATTCTTTTTTATTCAATATAACATACGAAAAGATGCCTAAGGGATACGACTGTATGCAAATAAAATAGATAGCAGCATTGGTCGCTGTATTTTTATTAACACTTTTTTAGAGACACCGATGTTGCTTGCATATCTTCACAAATTACAAATACAAATTCCCTAAAAGTAAATAGAAGTCTTTGATAATAATTTTCATTTTATAATATCAATACCTTGTTCTCATAAGTCAATGAAGAGAATCTAATAATTTTACATATACTTTTGAGTCAATTGTGGTAAGGTGTAAATAAATATTCATGTTCACTTGATATATTAATATTTTACGTCTGTACATATGACTTTCATGTGGAATTTTCTTTATTTTTGAATAGATTGCCAAATATGTTGCGCACGTTTTATGCGAGTTATTTCTTTTTGCTTTTGTGACGACCAGACGTTAGTATCTAATCACGAACTCGAAGCTAAAAACTTCTTTGTCGGTGCTCATAGGTATTACCAGTAAATCATTGCATTTTTTTCTAAATAGGATTATGTAGGCCAATATTATTACATTATCATCTTACGAATATTATATACGCTGGCGGTTTATTAAACTGAATATTGAAATATGAAGCAAATTCAACATGCTTGTTATACGTATGGCAACAATTTGAACATATTTCCCTGGTGGAATTTATGTTTTACGAGCATGATAATTTAATACTATAGAATTGTCTTAATTTAGGCCATTTCCGTTGCAGCTTTTTAAGTAAGACTAATCTACCTATTTTCATTTCATGCTTGAATAACATGTTCGGTTCCAATCCCATTTTTTATGTATTATACGGTAACTTATTTTCTTTGGCGTATTCTTCAGTTCATTTCCACGTTTACTCTTTCTTGCCTCTAAGCCCTTTTACCCATTAAAAATTGACTTAACTTTTGCACAAAGAACAGCCCCTGTAACTGTACCCTGTAAAACCATCGGTTCGGTTTTATTGTACACGAATTGGTCTAAGGTTCGGTCAATTTCTGTATTAGATATCGTTCTGAAATGTCCAATGACCAACTTTGACTAAACCAATATATAATGAACAATTTGGTAGAATATATTATAACATATTATAATTGGTCTAATGGTGCATTTCTGACAGACAATAGTATATTTTTGAATTTTGTTTGCTGCTTGCAGCGAGATGTACATTTGAAAGATTGTAACAAGTGTTCGATGCCTTTTAATACCATCTTTTTTAACACTGAGTTCGTTGTATTTTCATGACAGCTTGTTGTGGTAGCTTCTGCGAAATGTAGCGTGTAGCGCACGGTGGTGAATACTGATGTTCTATCGACTAAAAGCAAACAATAAAGAGAATAAAGAAGTAAAACATTCAAAATTCATTAGTTTTAGACCAATTTTTCAAAAATTCACTCTTTGTGTAAATTATGCATTCGAGTTGACAAATCGGTTGCATCGAATATAGTTTTAGTAACAAGAGAGCTCAGATAAATGGACCTCAAGGTCGAATGCCTAACAACGGTAACGGTAGTCCATGCGACTTACACTGAATTTCCTTATACGACCATTCAAAAAATCGATACCGGTTAGACAGTAGCCGAGCATAGAGAACGCGGATTCGCCGGAAAGATAGCGGCGAAGCGGTATGACGTAATGCAGCTTGGTGGCGTATAATATCATACTATAAACTGCAGCTGATTATGACAGTTTTTGTACAAACAAACTTTACATGTATCACAACGAAACCTAACGGCGTTGATGACCTCTCACAAATTTGATCAGTTTGTGAAAATGTTCACATTGTAATGTCCGTGCAGTTAGTTAGGGTTACATAATTACACCTTGGTGTAGCAGTCCGTAGCTTTCGATTGAACTCAACGGTTAATGGTTCTATATTTATCTTTTTTGAAACCTCTCCAACTACCTAAGCTACAGTAAATAAATTAGTTCTAAATGAAACCATTCGTTGACCACTCTAAAAATGACACAATACGAATCGCGCGACCAAGCCTAATTTGGCAAAGTCTATTTCAGGCACCACGAGTTACGCAAGATGAATTCTCATCCGGTCGCCGGACAGCCGTTCCGCGGGCTGCACCCACATACCTGATAAATACTTCAAAGAAAATCGTCAGTCCCATAAGAATAAGTAATCCGAACAACAGTAAAGGTTATCGTAGAAAAACTATAAAAATTATATATTGGTATGCGAGCAACGTCTACGATATTAACGTTACTATAGGCAGGAAGCCAAACATAAGTCACTCATCAAAAACGTAGTAACTTACCAGTAGTATCCGTACATCAAGAGTGTTGAATTGATAATAGTACAACTCCAAATACAAAGACCATGTGGGTATATAATAGATCTAAATGCTAACCCGACGTGCATATGTGGTCAAAATCAATAGTAGCTTCAATTTTAATGTTAAATTTAAATTAAAAAGTTGAAATTAAAATTGTTTATAACGTTCATGCACTCGGAATATTCAAGTGTTTAGTTATTCCCTCAATCCACCTTCTGACAAAGATACAGGCTCTGATTATACTTTCTTATAACTTTTTCTATTTAGATGATAAATATAAAATTTTATCGTACCAGAAAAGAAGATAATCGACTCATTTTTGGACTCAAAATTGCAAAGTAATGGAAATAATACAATAGCCATAGGCCAACAGCGTCAATCATATTAGAGTTAGAAATTAAATATTGTGTCAAAACGGGAAAATGCGTTATCATTTTTGTGCAGGTTGCAATGACGAGGCTATCTAGCGAAAATTGCAAAGTCATTTTACAAAAAGCGAAAACATGAATGATCTTCCAATTGTATTGTATCACAACAGATATCCGCAAGCTACGACATAAATGCAGTGAAAAAATTTCGCTTATCATATTTGCAATGTTACCCAAGTTAGGATCAGTACCGGTAGGAAACTAAAAATAGATCCTCAAAGCGCCGGTCCAGCCCTGTCGAGTGAAGCAGCACATTCACGAACAGACACACCAAGTATTGTTCTCCTAATAATTATATCAAGCCGACGTGATAAATTTCAAAAAATAATCACATACTGTATTTGTAACGGAAGGCATTATGCAGATATTCTTGAATAATTCGCCGGATTTTGAAGAAGCCACATCAATATGACCTTCCAATGCCACTGTGGTAATGGGTCAGTGAATTCGTGGTTCTCCGTGCTGTGTACGATACTTTCGTCCACTGTCTAATGTATGTACTGTATTCACGATATGAGTACGATCATAATTTTAGTCTTCTTCCTAGTCTTAAATAAAAATAAAGGAGTTCTTACACAATGCCACAAAATAGGCATGCCTATACTCTGGTGTGATATATCTTCTAATTCTATACAAAAACTGAAAGTAGGTAAGTTTATTTCGAAGGAGATCGAGGAAAGCGGTGTTGCCACACTTTAAAAGCAACTTCACCAAAATAACAAAAATTCTGTGACTATTTAACTGTTTCATCTATGTTAATTCGAAAATTTACCTTTTCTACTTATTCATTCAGTTTTATTTTCATGGACAAAAAGAAAATTTGTTACTCCAAATGATCTCATTTCGTTGTATACGATCGCGTGTACGCAATGGAAATAAAATGAACGGTCATAATTGACATGTGGCAGTTATAAATTATAAGTTTCGTTTCCGAATTATATGCCGACCCGCTATAAATACAAAACATTCAATCATTCATTATCAGTTGCGTAACGTATTGGAAGTTGAAGCGCAGTGAATTTTTGAGATATATATTTATTCATCCAATTACTCGATCAATAATCTAGATTTGAGTGTGTTTTTTTCCGAACGAAGTTTTCAGAACTATCATTAAGTTTTTTTGATTTTCCATATAGGTTTACATTTTTGTTTATGTGAAAATTAATGTGTATAATACTACGATACAATTTAATATTTATTATTGAGTCAAATGATCAAAAGCTGCAACTCCAATAAACTTAGCAATAGATATACAAGCTAACACTAGTCCGATAGATTTAAAAAAAATATTCACGGAATACCCGATATACCATCCGTCAACCCAAGCACTTTTATAGAAGCGCATATTATTATCTGAAAATATGGTTTCGCTGTAATTAACCACAAAATGAAGTCCATCCAGATGTCAATGAACTCGTTCCGCTTATCTCACCTTACCAGTAGCATAGAATTATGTTCAAACATGGTATATAAAACTGTAATTGAATTAAGTACCACATTTTTGTCTTCCGCGCAATCTCTCATTTTCTCCGACAAATTTTCGCAGAAAAATAAGTCAAAATAGATACAAGTCTGTTGCTCTCACGCTATTTTATTTCTATGATTGCCGTGCGTCGCTGATAACATCTCGATCTTAGTTGCAGTGGCCGTATGATTTAGTCTGTTGGTGTCTGTTGTAACGGCAGAATTTTGAAATGTAAATTGAACGGAATTCTATCATTCTAAGTAGTATACACGAGGATAAAATTAGATATTATTATATCTGATAGAGTTTTAGAAAGTTTCATTTGAGTATTCGTATTGTATCGCCCGTCATTTTTTACAGCAGTGCAGGATTTTAGAATGAATTTAATATAAATTATAATTTTTAACTGTTTATCCAACAGGTTTTGACATGTTTGTGACTTATTCGAAATTTTAGTAGATCGATCGCGTACCATGCCATATTATTTCAGGAATTAACTTATGAAGCTCGATATCGATTCGGATATTTAAATGCTTTTGCCATTTGTCTATGTCAATATGATTAAAGATCAATCTAGTGTAAATATACAGGTCACCGGGTTTGAATTTTGCAATTGAAAGTCATTGGTGCTGTAGTTTCTGGATCGAAGTAAGTTGATGAATTTGAAAATGTCATCTGTGCTAAATACTTGGACATGAACCAACAGTCGCATTTACTTTTATTTGCACTAAATATGAGTTGAAATAATATTAAAAAAAATGCGGAATCTCAGAAGCAAATCCAAGTCACTCCCACCCGCGTGTATTTAGAAATATTTGTACGGGATATGCTGAGCACAATATTATATTAAAGTAAATATATGTTCAAAAATTCGGAAATATAGTTGATGTGAATTCCCAATTTTTTTTGAATGGTTTGACATCATCCCCGTAGGCGTGAAATCTATTTCTACCTTCATTCCATGATGAATTGTCGCACAAAAATGAGATAAAATTTGGAATATGTCATTCTCCGAAAAAATTTGCCAAGATGTCATTGAATGAATGGACGATATATCTGAAGATATTCGCGTTGAATAAACTTTAAATTGGTTGCACGACAATGTGCAATATATGCACAATTGTTAGATTACAACTATACCGAACAATTTCTCAAAATTACAAAAAGCATTTGAATCACTAACGGTATCTAATTCCTGATAATTTAATAAAACTGTAGTGAAATGTGAAACAAAAACGTGTTACGTACGATACCACAATTAAAGGCTTTCTTATTCCAGCTTTCAGATTTAGTATATTCTAGACTAGATAATGTAGCATAGTTAAACGCAAGTTGAATTATCCAATAAAAGCTTTCTGTGCTGAAATGAAAGAAAATTTATTAAATTATTGTTGAACTATACTAACGGTGTATAGTGTAATTTCCCTATCCTGGCAAACTTTACACAACGAATAGCACAAGTTGCTTAAAGAACAATTAGCAAGTTACTACAATTTTTGTTGATAATTTGATGTGCCATCTAAAAAGGCGTTGGGAAAGGTGAGATTACTTGTGTGAACTTGTTGTATGTTTAGATAATAGATCAGACCAATGTTTGATACTAGTTACAAATATAGTGTACACTTATTGTTGCCGTCGCAAGAACCGTGCACGAGTAAATTTCTATTTTATTGGGATTGAATTAGTGTCGTATCATGAAACATCGTACCGTAAACTTTTTTCTTTTTCTAATAGTTCGCTCAGAGCGAGTATACGAGCACTCACTTCAAAAAAGGTCGTTTATGATAGCATATTATATATCTTAATTGCCGTGTTCAACTGTTTCGACACTGGCTGCGGTTAATTGAGCGTTATTAGCGCAAACACACATGCAGTTAAGCTATGAAATACCGATATAAAAAAAAGTCTGCTAGCTTGTAACGGTTAATATACAGTATTCGTATGACTATTACATCTTTTAATAATCTTAAAAAAAAATAATTGACTTACGTCATCGTGTTACCGCTCATTTACATACTGGTAGGTGGTTTGAACGAATCGCTATCTGATATTCACGCTTTCCGCTTCGTGTTAGTGGCCTGTGCAATGTTGAAATATGCATATCAGTTGTGTATCTTTGATAGTTTGGAATGTATTTTTCGAAGTAAAATATTCAATCAGATAACGTTTTGCCCGACTGATGCAGCGTCAATAAAGTTACATGAGCGACTCCACAGACATGTATGCGGTAGCACTAATATCTAGTCTTCGGCACGTTTGGGTCAGTGCACTCTTTTATTCTTATAAACATATAACTAGGTTTTAAAATTGACATATTATACTAAGTTAGTACAGCGTGTAAGAGGGGATTTCGTTGGCAAAAATCCCTTTCCATTCGAAGCAAAAGGGGTTAGGTGAAAGGACAACAGACTGATCGTAAACCGACTGATACATCACGGGAATCAAGTGCAATAGATATTAGCTTAAATATTCATTAGTTAATACGACCTGGAACCGTAGCTCTCGAAATAGGGGAGAAATAACCTAGATAGCATGATGTGGGCTTGTTACCTTCATAACCAAAGTTTGCATTTGCAAAAATGTACAGAACAAACATTCATTCTGCTGCATTGCATGCTAAGAAATGAAGTGCGGTTGCCGATTGCTCTTCAAATTAGATTTATATCGCCTTTGTACACAATAAAACTATCATAAGTGGGTTAGTGTGTCAATTGCATGCTAACAGTTTAGTTAAGCAATACATTATTGAAAAAGCAAGTATGTTAACCTAAGGTCGATTGAAAGGTTCAATTGAAAGGTCTTCACCAATTAGGAACTTATATCTTTGATACATTATTTATGTTTAACCGTTCGGGGCTAATAAAGTAAATATACTCAGAAATACGTTTAAATTTAACTATATTGAGTAGCACATACAATCACGGGTAACTTTGTGTGGTTAAGTTAAATAGAGTCAATGAGAGGTTACCGAATTACTCAGAGGGCGGAAGTAATCAAACGACTGCAAACAGCTAGGTTGTATACCGGTACCCGTTTATAAATATTTTAAATTTAGCGTGAACGAACTCAAGCTGTGCCATCGAGTATGAATTTTTTGATGCAAAAATGTATGCAGCATTGTAGTTAGAGAGGCAATCATCAACGAATATTTAGCCTTTGCTAAATAATTTTTATCTTCAATAATCGGTATTCTCATCACTCGAGCAATTAGAAGGTATTTCAGTAGGATCGTAGAGTTTGGCCTTTGGTATGGAATATGCTGCTCAACGTTCTGTATAGTTTTAATTTACCGAAGCACGATAAGGATTAATGCTCAGAAGCTATACTCTACTTCTACTGCAATCTTAAATCGCGATTAACGTGTTCTGAAGACTTTTTTGACTTCGACTTCAAAGTCTTGTTGTTTCGTGAATATGTTTTGATAGCATCACCCAAAACCAACCATGCATCATTATTTCATGAAAAGAGGCTTAATTTTGAACATAAATCAAATTATGTTGGATAGGAACGCTTGTGTGTTTTCTTGTCGATTTGTATTGTGATAGACCAAGCTCAAGCTTCATATTCTTGCAAGATACACAGCTTATACCTTATTCATTCAATTATCTGATAGACAAGTTTTCCAGCCGAAATAGCTGAGATATTCCGTAGAATGTACAGATATCTTCCAAACGGCGGAAAGAGTTGACAAGAAAAACCAGTTATAAGATATAAATAAAATTGCTTGTCTAAGAAAGCTGGCAATACCATTGTGAGATTGGTGCAAGATTTATTGTCGTTCAACCGTATTTATTCTTCTGTCATTATCATATTATTGCATTCAGTATTCGCGCCGACACACCCTCACAGAAGTACATGCTTAACGACAAAGCAAACATATTTGGTCTGAGTAAAATCAATGGCATATTAATTTAAACAAACGGTAGATTTAACAACGAAAACAAAACAATGTGGTAATATCAGAGAATATGAGCATGGCAGCAGTTTGTAGTATATTTATTAGAGGGACTATACAGACATATATTGATGCATTTGATATTCCAATTCATAATACATATTCGTAAATATCCAATCACGACAATGATCCAGTTGATCGGTCTACTTGCGATAATTATAGGCAGAGAAAATTTGACGATTCGCGGGTACATAGGAGAAGAATGAAATAGATTTAGCATTAAGCCGCAGTCACAGCGCAATTTGTATGACAAACCATAAATATAATTTACCTGTATTATTCATGTCCTGGTGTTATTAAAGGTGATAGACGCACTCGTAAAGTGTTCAAATATGTATTTAAGAGATGTAGTGCAAAAATATAGCGCAAAACATGAGTGTCAGCTTTGGGTCATTTCGAAGTTGTAAGAGGGTCACGATGATTTGTCATTCTGAAAAGCTTTCAGAAATATCAGTGTATCAATTTTAAAATGTGGTGAAAATTCTCATTTTAGTTCTGGCCCGATATCTTTTTTATATTTTTAGACTTCACTTGTTGACATTCCTAGTAGGTTTTGTGGAGAATCTTTACGAAAGTTCCATTCTTTTGCTGAAAACGTGTATCCCCACCTAATAAAACATGTTCATTTTTGTCAAGGTAAGCAGTTACATATATATGGTATATTTTTGGGAAGATCACAGCCAGATCGGATAAACGTGAACAACATTGAACCTTAAATTTGTCTATTTCGGGCTTCAGAAATACATCATAAACAATTAAATAATTGCTGACTTTTATAGGTGTTCACTGACAACACTATAAACCAAGTTACAGCAACAAGTTAGAAGCACTGGGATTATATAATTAAAACTTTTCAAATTTTAGATTGAAAATACATTAATGGATGTCGATCGATTTTGTGACTGTCCAATAGTCAATGCACAACATACTCTCAAAAAATTAAATTTTTTAAATTGGATGAATTTCTGAAGTGAAGCTTCCTATATTCTGCACTTTGATCGAATGTATAAACATTACTGGAATGTAATTATTCCACCAAACTTATAAATGTAACTTATGAATGGGCTAAGTAAGCAATATCTTCACACAAGCCCAGCCCACCTTCAAAAATAAAAATAAAAGATTAAATAATTGGATCCGACCACTTGTGAAGGAGCGCATTCACGTAGGAGAATAGAGATAGAAAAGGGTTAGCCGGCAGGGTCATCGTGGCGTTAGCTCACGCAATCTCTCGGTTATTCTGTCACGCGAGAAAAATTCCTAAACGACACAAGAGGAGTGCCAGCACGGCAGACACATATGTACGCCTGCAGTAGGTATACGCCGATAAATTACATATACACGTCTGTCAAACAATAGTTTTTTTCCTAATAATTGCCCTAGAGTATTTATTGTCAAACTTAAGGGTATTTAGAGAGTTTATGATCAGACATTCAATTCATATAGAAAAAGTAACAGAGAGAAAAACAGTTGGCTTGAATGCGAGACATGGATATACGGTTCTTTATTATTAAAGCTCAATGCCGTGAAATGAAAATCTCGGACGACCTACTTTATTAGGTTTATTTCCCAAGTCGACGGATGGCATTAAGTCCGCCTTTGAAAGGCTTAGCGATAGCGGTTCAGTAAGGGTAGACCACAAAGTCCCATATTTTGTAAAACATTTATTTTATAGTGTGCAAGTGAAAATGCGGACAGTGAAGTTACCTAGAGATGCATGACCACTTGAAGTTAGGCAGGTTATTATTGTAATTGCTTGTAAATTTCGGACTCGCAATTTAATTTGACTTATGTTGTCATTGATTTCGTCAAAACTACAACAAACACTCTTCCAGGTTTTGATTATGTAACTAAAATTATTAATTTGCCGGCATAAAGAAAACAAACAGAGAAACTCTAGAGTCAAATATTGCAAGATCGGTATGGTGTTAGGCTACCACAGTATTTTTTATGATATACGTAATAATTAGGGTTTCATTTTTTTTAACAATGGACATGTACTGATTCTCATAAACGTGTTTCCTTTTAGTTTTAGTCCTGTGCGTTATTAAATTAATATTGACGAAAGAATGACAATTCTATTGAGAGTCCACTCGAAAAGTTTTCATTGGCGGGCATTGCCGCCATTCGTGAAAAGAGTGGAGTGGGTTTACCTATGTTTACAAATTACGTCATGTCGCGTATTAGTGTTGTACATCAATAAACCAGCGCTAAGCATCCAGAGAGTTAATTCGTACTGCAGGAGTTTTTAGTGAGCTTCGGCGTGACATCTTATACGGTAATTAATACATAACTCTTATGCTACGGAGATACCAGTATAGGTATCGTTTGACGAGGGCTTGAAGACGTTGCTACAGGCCATAGTATTTCTATCACTGAAAGCCGAGTCATGCTATTTAACCTTTGGTATGTTTGTTCATGCCGGCTATGAAAGTCGTATTAGGCTGTAACCTTTATTGTGAGGACACACTTAGGACATATCGTGCAATCGAAATATCTTGTCTTTGGATTTCAGCCACGTAAGTTGTCACGCGATGTTTTATCGGAAACTAGTCATTTCTGACATTTGGTCACTTCCACGAGTTTGATATAGAGATGGACACATATTCCAGTCACGGGCCATGTATAAACATGATACCCGGCCCTGTTTCACTCTCATCGAAACAATAAAATTCATTTACTCGCACGCTTCACCTAATGCTCGATCTAATTATGGCCCGGACATGTTTCCGTTGCTCATTTTAGTAGTTCACAAATCACGGGAACTAGCGTTTGATTTTATATGTGACTTATTAACTGGGCTGCGTGAGAAGTATTTATTTGTATACTGACTCTGCATAATTAAGTAGAGTAATATATGAGCATCGTAGCTGTCCCTCGTCTTCATAAACTGGTTGAGGTGGAGCTTGTGACATATCTTGAGCGTTAGTTAACAGACTTTAAGAGGTAGCTAAAAACAGACTTACTATATCATTGCATTTGACTTTTTTTGACAGAAATAGCACTAAAATTCTGTCGGTAATATGGATGAGACTTGATATGATTCTTCTGGACTATATTTGTAACAAAAACATCCTACCAAAGAATAAAGATGTTTTCCAACATTTGGAACAATCTACCTCAACAATTTCAAAACGATCTTGCCACCACTGCAACTTTCGGAACGCTGTTGATAATTTTATATTACATATACATTCGAAATATTCGTAAAAATGCTAAAAAGAGAAGAGGGAGTGTGCAAGAAGCCAAAAGACTAGATGGTCCGTTTTCATGGCCCATCGTGGGGAATGCCTCCCAGATTAGCGACGGGCATATCACGTTTTGCCGATGGGCGGAAAAATATGGGCCAGTTTATCGAATAAAACTGGGAACTCATTTTACATTGGTGCTAAATAGTTTATCTGCAATCAAGCAAGCCATTAATCAGCATAGAGATATATATTCTGGAAGGCCCATATTCAAATCGAACGAAGTCGTTTCGTTTGGTAGGGGAGTCGCTTTTAATGACAGGACAACAATGCCCGATTGGCATAAACGCAAAGGATTTATGGTAAAAAAGCTGCACTTATATGTTGTGTCATCAGAAACAAAACAGAAACTTGAACAGAACGCCACAAAAATGATATTATATCTTGGAACTACTGTCGAACAGCAAGCAAAAAAATCAGTCTCAGGTTATATTGATCCGGCAGATATTGTAAAAACATCAATAGGGAATTTCATGTGTCTAGTTTGCTTCGGAAGATCTTATCCAGTTACAGACGAAGTGAGTATTAAAAGTTCATTGCCTTCAACAATCAAAGCATTTTGTGTAAAGGGTCCAAGCGATTTGATTTAATTTGAAGTGCTTAAAAAAAATTGAAGTCGGCGATATGTTCCGAGTTGGGATTTTTGTGAATTTCAGACAAAGATAAGAAATGTTGATAGCGTTTCTGTTTAATGAGTCGCACAAAAAAGGTATTTAAAAAATGCGTCAACACAAAAATAAATTTGCAAATTGCATCAATCTTTAATTACCGCCAATTCCAGTCACTCATATCGCACCTATTTTGACGTGCGATATCGGTTTTTCTTTTTTTGTAAACTGAGTATCTATGTTTTAGTCAATTTTATGCGTTGAAAGTATAAAAATGATGGCCCTACGTTTTTTTAGTAGTACTTTTTCAAAATAACCTTAGTTTGTGACACTCTAAGTCTACTGTTTGGTTCCGTTTGTTGTTCGTAATATAAACACCATAATATAAACTGCAAAGCGATTAACTGAAATTATGTTTGTTTAGTTATACTATAATCACTTGTTATCTCGTTTTAAAAGACCACAGGATATATAAGCAAAAGAAGAACTATTCTCCCGCCCCCTTGTGGTGCGTGCATCGGAGTCAAAATTAGTCCGTGTTAATATATTTTTATTTTATTTCGAAAAAGGAAGCACGATGATACGGTTCAAAAGCATTACAAGCAATCTATGTATATTAGAGCAATGCGGTATATTATTTTAACATTGTGACATTGCAAATATTGGTTTACGTAGAGGCCCGAATTGGAATTGACTTAACACCTTTTGCGATTTTGTGATTCCTATTCTCGTCGATGAGAAAGCTTTTCGAAGTAATGTTGGTTATGAATACACATTATGAATTTTTAAACACGGAGGATTATGTTCCTGTCCTATTCCCTTAAAATCTCGGATCCCAGTGTCACGCCCTTTGAATCCACCTCGAAACGAGATTGCATGCAGCGAATGAAATATACAAAACTGATTTCAGAACCAAATTTTGATTGTAAGAGGACTGATGTGATTGATGCGAGCACACTGCACTTTTCAATCCTGGGCTGCAAGCGACGCTACAAAATTAGTTTTGTTTCTTATTTACCGATAAAGATCAAGATGCTTTGACAATGATTCACACTTGTCAGTGGGAATTGCATAATATGCCAGACACTATTATATACTCTTCATAACTGATCACATTATATCCAAATATTTTCATTCATTAATTTGAAAGATAGATTATTATGTGAACAGTACGGCACATCGATTTTGACTGCGTCAAACGACCCGTGTAGTCGAGTGCATTTTCAAGCGAATATTTTCTTTCTGGGAGGGACCTGTCAAATTTCATGCAAACTATTTCCAGAAAATAAAGCAAATCGAGAATAGGTACTTCAGAGAAAATCAACCAATATTCGTGGCCATTCTTGTAAAACATCAAGAAAATATGCCAAATATTCATTTCTTATATTTGAATACTTTGTACTGATATTGTATATCGTCGCAGTCAGGTACCCGTGATGTACTTAAAAACTGAAATTCGATTTTAAAACTCGAAAAAATACCTTAGGAACGACCACTTAAAAATTTAAATTGTGTCAGAGAAATTGTCAATAACAAAAACAAGATTTTGTTTAGAATGGAGTTGGGTCAGGAGTACTAGAGCAGTGTTATAAATTTATAGATGAGAAAATCATTTCTCTCCTTCTACGTGATTTAATGCGGAATTGGCAAATAGCCGACCCCGTCGTCATGATTTAAAGACCTCATTCGACATCGTTCAAATGTTTAATTTTTAACTTTTATTGGATCTGCGTTATTTAAACTCGTAAGCACGTGTGATCTCGCAAATGTATGTAACCCTAAACATTTTCTATGCAGAGACGGATTTCAACTGCAAATATGTACGTCTCTATTGAACAATGACGCGGCATTTTCTAAGATCTGCCATAATTTTGCCTTTTACTTTGTGTCACACGACCCGTTTTCTTGTTACGCTGAGGGCTGCTGACTCGGGAACTAGAGATCTAGAAGCGAAAAAGTAAATAGAAAAATAAACGAAACATAGGAAATTCATTTTAGAAATATATATTTTGAATCAATTTGCTGGCTTTAGTGCCCAAATGCACATCTCATTCACGGGCGTGCTCTCTCTCTTTCTCTCTCTCTCGTGTGAGTGAGTGACAATAAATCTGATGCACCCATACTTCTATGATTCTGTCTTCCATCAGTACTTCTGAATTCGAAGCGTGTAAATTGTATATTCAGCTGTGCAAGATTAGTAAATCTTTCTAAAAACCACATAAAACAAAATTTAATAACATTCAAATGACCGAACGAGCAAACATATAGTTATATATAATTTAATTTGCCAATTTTATACAATGGAACATATTATTTAAAATAGAAATAGTATGCATACATATAGTGATTTTCTTTAGCTAAACCCTTAATTGTATAGAAAAATATATGCCAACACGAAGAGATAAGGCTGCCCGAGTATTTAGACTTTGCCTCAGGGTGGGTTTATGTTTCAGTTTTTCAATACTTTCAGGGATTTTTGTACGGTCTTATGTCACAAAAGATGCCGTTGTGTTTTGTACGAATTATAAAATATATTATATCAATAGTAGTTTTATTATGGCGCTGCGAAAATGCACACTTTTCGAACTTCGAAGTAACCTTTTATTTACATAACTAATTTGTCAGGCCCATAACTGACCAGTAAAAGAGTAACAAATAACAGAGTGTCCCACAAAAACAGAACCCATGTCCTTTGGAACATATTCTAGACAGAACAAAACGTCTTACTTGCTAAAGGTTTTGGGTAGAATCAGTTCAAGTGTTAAATAAATTTTCCTCATTTTCGTAGAAGTGATTAAGAAGTTTATGGCTTCTTTTTTTTCAATGGGCCACCGTGTAAAACACAAATGAGATCGACTTGTTTTCAGTTACAAATAGACGTTTTAAAATCTGAATGTGTGAAGCCTGCGTTACAACGCCATACTAAAAATTTGTAAAAAGTCGAAACTGTATAGGTCATTTTTTCAATTTTGACTTTTATAAATACCGGTACGTCGTTAAATGTGGACCTCTGACATTACATTTCTGTTGGAAAACCTCGAATGTATTTAATATATGAAAGACATTTGCTACATTCCCGTGAAAATGTTCATTAAATCGATATGAGACATTCAAGAATATACAAGGAAAATCATTTTCATGCTATTGTCTGCACAAGGGCTTATGGGTTATAGAGTTTGGCGTGTTTTCCTGGAGTCGCGTAGTCGGAGTCATTGTAAATTTTTCCATGATCTGCACCATTCATCCCCTTGACTTGGAACTTTATTCCACTTATGAGAATGTATTGAAAATGATCTTTTTATTCGACGAACTAATGTCTTTTTTCAATACTCGCTGAATACCCAAATACCTGTTTCATTTGTTTCCTCGATCTGATAAACTATACATTTTGCAATATGTTAATGATGCTGTTTCCCAAACATATGTTTAGATGGCACTTTGGGGCAATTTACGTGCATCCCCTAAAACTCAATTAGGAGCTTTGCATTATTATAACTACAACATTTTTTCAAGGTATTCCTCAGACTACTCAGCAATAATAAAGAATTTGGCGAAGTAGCGGGAATGGGGAATCGCATCGATACTATGCCGTGCTTAAAGGTAAAATTGAACTTATAAACGAACTTTCAATCTAATGTTTAGTACTCGGTGTCAAACTGCTAATTAGGAATATGCAATTTACAATGGAACAGGCAATTGGAAATTTTATGTTGATCTCTTCTAAAAGACATGATTATTTTCCAAAAGAAACCAAAGCATAATCAGAAAATATAATTGAAAACAATTTATCTTTATCCAACTATCATTTATACCTTACTATGCCAATGTATTTCAGATTATGCCCAAGTATAGGAAAGCGGCAAAAGAGTTTGAGACATTAAGTAAAAGAATTCGAAACTGGGTTTATGAACGGTAAGAAAATCTTTATAACACTAGCAGTTATGAAACATTAACATCATGTACTGGTCAAGAAATAAACACAATGGAAATGTAACGATAATCTAGACCAGGTCTACTCAACTGGCGGACCGCGGTCCGAATCCGGACCTTTTGAGTACTTGGTTCGAACCGCAACTGTTTTTTATTTTAGATCATTTGGATCCGGCCCGCGGAGCAATATAATCCGGCCCGCGACGCTCCACTGAATTATAGTAACAAATTATAGCTGTTTTGTCGATTATATTCTTTACGCAAAAGAATTTACGTGTAGACTAAATTATAATATAAAGTATATAATTCACAATTACTCGTTTAATGAGCCTATAATTTAATTATAATTTAGACAAATGGCAACAATGGCAAAAAAGTTGATGCTAAGTGCAAATGGTTTAATGGTGCAAAAAATATTCAAATGGTCAGTCTTCGCGCGCTGTTTAAAATTTAACTTCTGATCTGTGTGATAGAATGTGATTCATCGGTCATTCATTCGATTTTTAACTTTTTAAAAATATGGGCGGCCCGCCAATGACTTGCAACCTTTAATTTTGGCCCGCGAGCGACAAAAGATTGCCAACCCCTGGTCTAGACTCTAGAAGCCACGGGTAAAGGCCTTTCCTGGGTACTGTTTGCCATGACTTCATAATTTTAAAGTGAATTCATTCTACCCGCTAAAATGTATCTCTCTCACAGATGGGTTTAATTTCGTATGACTTTTCCCTCATATCTCATTTTTATTGCTATGCACCATTTATTGTAAGATTTAGACTTCTTTCAGTAAGTTAATATTACTGACGACGCTCATGAATATTTTATCTGCAATATATTACATTGATCTCTAACTTATCGGAGGTCGACCGTGGCGTTACACATATTCAATGGACTGTGGTAAACATAGGTTGCACCGCCCTACGCTTTGACATTTGAGATGATAGAAGTATATTTCTTTGTAATTGTATAATGTGGCCTATGTAATACGGACGCTAATGTTGGTAAAGTTGCAAAATACAAACGCTGAAGATACCTAGCCTAGCCTGACTGCCTATTTCTATTATGGTAATGGAATCGGAACAGAACTTGTATTTTGTCAAAGGTCCAGAAGTCAGACCCATAATGATTGCGCGCAGAGTGCGCATAAACTCCTGTATTAAATTAGGTAAAATAACTATGATATGCCTTCTGCAGCACTGCTGGGGCATATGAGGTTTTATTGAGTGAGGTATCAATTTAAATAAACACTGATTGAAATAAAACAAACCTTGTTAAAGTATATTGGGAACCTAACTTTCATAAATAATTGAAACAGTAACAGGACTTTATTAACACCCTTTATTTCAGATGACCAAGAGACGTAGTCTTAATTGAAGGTTCTCTACATTTGTAGTCGCAGTTAATTTAAAATAAAATTAGTTTCGTCCAAATCATATTTCCTTAGGTAAAATTTTATTATCAAAGCCAGAATTTGAATTTAAATTCTTTAGCTCAAAGTTAAGAGGCTGATTGAAAGTGAAGCAGTCAATTTTTCGTTGTCATGGAGTCTGAGTCGAGGATCTTTCTTTTATATTTTGTATTTATCATTGTCATTCGAAGCCATTAATAGTCATGTAAGATTAAATATTCTAATTGATTGAGGGCGTTGATAAACTGTTTCTTATACGGAACTTATTCGCTATATTTACCCCTAACAAGGCCTGCGCAAGCAGTCATACTGTAGGTGGAGTAGTGTGCATGGGATTTATACCTGACATATTGTAACCCACTTCTGTGATCAGCCCTACAAAACAGATAATTGAGATTCGTGTTTTAAAGTGAAACAGCAAAATTTTGAGTGCAATATCGGGTTTCATAGAACTCGGAGGAAATTTTTAGGCAACGTGTTCGTTTTCAAGAGCCCATAACCGACCCGAAAACCAACCAACAACTCTAGTCAGAGGTGCCCCACCTGAACCCAAAAAATAAAACCCCCAAATTGGCTGTAAAACTTTTATTAGTTCAACTGGAGGTTTCATTGAAAAAACGTTTTGACAAAATTGATCGGTCAACCGGGTTAGCCGCCGTTGGTATCAAATACGCAGCATAAAGTAACATTGCCACCATTAAAGTTTGATAATGGAAAAGTAGGGTCGTTACGCTCCGATTCTGAAGGTTTTTTTACATAATCTTGCACAGACGTTGCTGGAAAAGTCCCGGTTTGAAATGGTCTAGTGACTAATTGTTTTATTTATTCTCTTTTTTACAGAAGAGATGCAAACTTCTTTTGATATTTGGAAGTACATAGTGACCCAAAAATAACAGAACGCATAAATTTTAATCAAGAAAGTTTATTTAACACCTCAATTATGTTTGTGTATGATTGTACTCAAAAGATTCAGTAAACCAGGAATCTTTGCACAAAAGTTATGTTCTCAAGAATATGTTTCAAATTATCTGGGTTCTGTTTTTGAATCATCCTTTCTTTAATTAATTGGATTCGAAAAATTAAATGTAAGTTATGTAATAAATTTAATGGTAGTTAGAAAAAAAAAACGCAAAATCTTGTTTTGTAATCCTTATCCGCCTTAAAATTTACCAATAAATATTTACTGGTAACTATACCCAGTCTTTTTCAATAATTAGACAATAATTTCCGTTTTTATCTCTCACTATTTGTATCTTATTTTTCAGATTTGATGAGAATCTTGCTATTCACGAAAGGGGGGAATGCAAATCTCTTGTAGACGTATTTCTTCAAGATGATTGGACTTCTAATTTGACTAATGGTTGCCAAAACGGCAGTAATCATTCAAACTCAAGGATGAACAAGATCGACTTTGTAGCTCTTTTTGTGGATATATTTGGAGCTGGTCAAGATACTCTTGTCAGTGCTCAACTATTCATTTTTCATTACATGCTGAAGTAAGTATTCGTAACGACATATATTGAAATTTTATTGTTTATCAGAAACTTGATGATAAAATTATATAAGCTATTAAAACCCATCTCTGAAAACCCCCAGATATGAAGTCTAGTTGTGCATTTGAGAATGAGTTTTTTTTTTTAGCAACATGGTTTAATGAATTAGTTTAGCTGTAAGCCCCATGATTATATGGCACCATTCACAATTTAAAAATTTCCTCTTCCTTAGAAAGCATATAGGACTGCAATATGAGCTCAGGTTGGATTTTAAAGGTAGCTACACACGAAGCATTTCCCAATCAAGTACAATGTTGTATAGACGTGTAAATTCTTGTTTCTCTGATGAGTTTAAATGTTGCGAAGATGGCTAATGCTAATTATTTTTCCTTTCACTTTTTATTTTATTTTCGAATTTGAGCAAGTTTTCGCTTCCATTAATTTAATTTAGCTGTTATGTCTAATACGCAGACTATTTAAAAACAAAATTCGTGCTTTCAGATATCCATCAATTGCGAAAAAAATTCGGAATGAAGTGAACAGGGTAATTGGGAAAAACGGAACTATTTCAATCGCTGATCGTCCCAGTTTGCCCTACACAGAAGCTGTCATACATGAAGTATTCCGACATTCAAGTCTAACAGCAACTACAATACCTCATCGTACTCTGGCCGATTCCGTTGTCCAGGGTTACCACGTACCTTCAAATTCTTTAGTGCTCCTCAACTTTTACGCGGTCAACCATGACCCTAATTTTTGGAAGTCTCCGGAAGTTTTTCACCCGGAACGGTTTTTATTACATTCATTGGAAGGCGGGTTAGAATTAAATAAAAATATCATAAACAAGTATTTGGTATTTTCATCAGGCGCGAGAAAGTGCCCTGGCGACGAGATTACTTTTCATTGGTTGATTTTATCGACTTCAATTCTTTTGCATAAATATGACTTAATGCAAGATCCGAATTATCCGGCAACTGAAGGTGAAAATTTTGGACTCACTGCACGGCCTCAACCATTCAAGATGAAATTGGTTAGAAGGCATGAACAAAGCAACGGCACTTCATGACTAACGAAAAATTTAATAAAATATTTTTTATGAGTATGGGCCGTACAGCGTTGCCCAGGATAGGCCGATACAAAGTCGATAACAAATAAGTAGAGCAATTGTAACAAATCATTACGTTTGCTATATAATTCATTTTTATTGTTTTTAATTTTAAACATGATGATATCAAATTGAAATGAAAATAAATTATAATTACACAATAAAATCAATTGCATATTTATTTCGAACGCTAAATTACACTACTTTGATATGGGGTAAGCAAAATATGCCAAATTTACTTTGAATTCGTAGTATTTCTAAATTATTTCTACACTGATTTGCATGCTGACTTATGTTTATCCAACTATTGACTGAGGTTTTCCAGTCAGTCTGACTATCTCTATGAGTCTCCAAATGATCGCCACATTAGTAATCTTATTATAAACGTTCGTTATTTGCGAAAAGTACTTTCAATTGTTATTGTGAGGTCACAAATGCGATTTTTTCGTTTTTCTTTCTTCGATGTCTTCAATTTATTTCATTTTGTGTGGGTTTTACTAATATTCGTTTTATCTTTATTATAATGTGATCATCATCCTAGTGGCTTAAGTGCCCAAGTCATTTTGACGTTTTCCAAATGAAATGAGAGTCTCGTTCTTATTTGGAAATGATGAAAATGCCCTGGGCATTTGTGTTGTGAAGGTTAAATATTATATTTCTACTTTTTGTTTGTGAAAATTTCTTTACTTTGTAATTTAAAAACTAAATATATACAGATTCTAATATTTAATATAATTTTGTTCGATATATATATATATATATATCGATGTTGCTATACAAAAAGATTTTAAAATGATGGAAAACCTTATGTGTATTTGTAGTTATGAAAACGGTCATTATAAGAGTGGTGTGTCTTACAGGTCACGTTACGTCCAGGGTGATAATCTCGAATTTAGAATTCAGTTAATTTGGCGATTAATGTGCGAAATGAATTATGCTCTAGATTCTAGAAGTCGCGCAATGGACTTTTGGATTGTTTTGCATAAAAGAACGCGCACATCAATTCTTATTCCATTTTCAACTCAGTGTTATTGGTATTATATTAATGTACATCAATACTAATTGCCTTGACAGCGAACTCGTCGATACAACGATATGCGATTCGTTTTAACAATAGACTAAATTTTGTCTGTTTGGTCACACAATCTCCAAGGATTTGTTTTTAAGGAGGAATGAATAGATAACTTCAGTGACATAAAAAGTGTCAATGAAAATAATAACTTTCTTGCAAGGAACATTTCTGTTAATGTCATTTTTGAGGTGATGCTTCTAAAGCTGATAGACCGTGTGTTCTGCTGATAGGGAGTCGGCATTTGCTGACAAGTAACTTAGAGATTAGTCTCTAATACGATAGCTGAGTGCGCGTGCGTTTGAGATATACTCCTATAAAAACACTATATCTTAATTCGGGCAAAATCCATACTTAATTTACCAAATACCATCGAAGAATTTTTTAAATACAACAATATATAGTCCCTTTTCAAATTTTGTTGCCCGATCAAACAAAATTGTACGTAGGGTTTCCAGCTTGCAGGCATCGCCTTTTTGGGAAAACTCGGAAATGGTAATCTATATATTTTGACCAACCATATCACACGAGTGAAGGGCGTAGATAGAGGTGAATCCATCTAAGGCAGACTTTGCTCTAATATGATCTACACGATGTTAATATTTGAAGGTCAAATTGCCCTCTGGGACAACCTTTATAGTCGGTCTATGAATAGTTTCCTTAACCGTAATTCGAAGTATGGTATCCCTGTGGGAGAGGTATGAATATATATATTAATTAAATAACTTGCCGCTTTGCTGAAAGACCTATTTCGCAATGTCTCGTAACGTTAACATTGAAAGGACATTAGGACAAGTTATTTTGAGAATTATATATACGGCGACCGCTGTCCAGATGTCTACTACAAAATGTACACTACAGGTGTCTACTACGCCCTTTCTGACTGGGATTGCTGTCATACCAGGACCTGAGGCGAAGCATTTGAAGTCCGAGCTTGGTGGTTAGCGAGATTTGTTCCAAAATTTCAGGACAACTCACCCGACCAAACCTCACCTTTCCGAACTCACCAGAGTCGGAATTATGAATTACCCGGAATTGGGGAGTCGGATTGCAATGGAGATAGAATAAGTCAAAAAAATTCTAAAACCTGGGCAGCATTAATTTTACTGGGCATTCTCAATCAATCAAACTACACTTGTGGACACCTAAATTATTTTTGTCAAAATTCAATTTTTCCATATTTGAAAACTGGAGTCGGAAATTTTTTACAACACATAGTCGGGGTAGAAGCCAAATTTTTTAATGTGAATTCGATACCAATCGACTGTAAATTTTCTTCGACGGCAACAACCCCTGTGGTATGAAGGAAATCGATCACATCTAAGAGTCTGTGAACATTACACAAATGTTATTTAAGAAATCCATGCATTCATTCTATTTGCGATCAAATGCTCGGACTCGGCAAAAACGATATCATGGTATCCATCTAGCGGAATCAATTTCGGGTTTGAAACAACCCTGACGAGTTGATTGCAAAATTTTTTCGACAACACAGACTTGTACGTAAGCAAGGGCGATAAACCTCGTTACGAATGTTATAATAAACAAGGTTGAATATAATATTTAATATATATTTTCTTCACAGTGACTATCAAACCCCACTGATCAAGTTACTTAACAAACTCGTATAATATATGAATTTTTAATAAAGCATTTGGCAACACAATCTAAGAGAAAATGCAGTCAAAATATGTGAACATTCTGTCGCTATTAGCATAATTAACAACTTTTTTTCTACTCCATATGTTTAGCACTAGTGTAATGTAATATAACTTGCACACGACTCCATTATACTTAAATTCGACTACTTAGAGAAAATTAACACTGCCTTTTCCCGAAACAGCAAAGAACGGGCTCAAAGAACTCGTGTTGTTGCTACATTCAATAGTGTACATTGGTATCGAATTATATCCCGATACATCAGTAAATGAAATTGTGCTTTTACCAATTTCGGAAAACTCAAGTTCAATTCCGATACGAAAGTACCGGTAGCTTTCGAAAGCTCTCACGTTTCGTGATGTCGATGATTCAAACGTACGATCGGAACGTTCGCGCCATAATATAGAAGGCAGAGATGTTACCGATGGAGATCTAAGGATGGTAGACTGGTATTCAGAGCCATTCTTGACAACGACGTTTTCTTGTGAGTCGATTCTGCTTGTATCGCTTTTCATGCTCAGGTCATTCATTGATATACTTGAAGTTCGCAGGAGAGAATTTTTCAATTTTTTCAGAGGTTTTAAAGCTGATAATGCTGAAGGAGTTCTTTTAGGTTTCGATTTTGATTTTTTGTTGTTCTCGACGGAAAATGAACTTCGTCGACTGCTGGGTGCGCTGTCGGAAAATTCGCCGATGCCGCACATTCCCCGACCAATTATAATCGCCTTTGTTAACCTTATAAAACAGGATTGTTGCAATAAATTATCGATATTATGAAAAAATCGAAGGCATAAAGAGGTAAAGAAAATATGGTGTTTAAATATTGAAACGTTGGACAGTTTTCCACCACACGAACTCTTTCCTGATAGACCGAAGTCTTGAGGCGATCTTCAGTAAAGTGAATATGACAGAAAGTTTTTGCGCTTACACCGGTAATCGACTTAAGCATGCTATGGGTTTATTTATTACTTGATACATAGGTGATATTGGAGCATCTGTTACAACAAAAGGCGCCAACGGCGTAGAATACTTTTTCACCGTAATCAGAAAACCGACAGCGTTACAAATTTAATCGTGCTCACAAAATTGAACCGTCAATGAACCACATACTAATGTTGTAGCAAGAATGAACGTAAAGCTCGGTTTTCTCTGTAAACGAGAACTGGTCCATAAACTGATTAAAATACAACGAGATAGAAAACAATCTCGCATAATAAAAAGCTATAGTATATAAGTTGCATTAGGTGACACCGCTTAAATAGAAGGTATATCGGTCGTAAACTCGTAATTTCAAAGCGCCAATGTAGAAAAATGAATGATGACTAGAGTTCAATCAATCTCGTTTAAGCATAGCCAAACAATTACTCCTAATAATAAGAGAGTTGTGGGACAAAATTACCATACTTCACCAGTCGCGTACATTGTCAATTGTCATATTCCAGTTATTTTTAAATACTTATAGCCTTTATAGGGGATAATCTCAAATGAAAGTTTTCATAGATTTGACGAAAAGCTCATTTATCAATTGAAACATAAAACTCACATTTCGTCAAACATTCCATAATCATTCGTTTGAGAGTTTTCATCGCCATCAACCATATTTTCTATGCTTATTACACCAATTAGAAGATGGAAATCCGAACCACCGGTAGCCTCGATTTCCCAGTAATGATTCCCATTTTCAAATCTTGCTTCTCCTGAGTAGAAAAATTGAAAGAAATCTCATATGAGGGGTAGGGAGGACGAAGAAACAAAACACGGGGCAAGAAATTCACAGTGAATCGGCTTATGAACTCATAAAGTAGAAAAACCTTTTTGGAAGAGGGAGGAGTGGAGAATTTCACATATTAGACTAGTCCCGCCTAGATCTGAGAACTAATTAGTGCAGTGTAGTAGTAGTTCCTCATAGCTTTGGGGTAAATGCAGTAGCAATTCCTTATAGCTCTGGGTGAAATTCAGCCGTAATTTGACTATAATCGAGTAAACAACAACAATATTATCACGACGAAATAAAAAAGGTTTTCTAATCCCTCGGGCATATTTAACAGCGAACATTATTAATTATTTATTTCTTCGTCGACGATATAGCTCACCATCTATAGTGTGTAAAATCCAGATGGAAGTTGGCAACATGACCAGATAAAAATATATAAATTACTCCTAAATTAGTAATCTGAACGCGTTCTGAATATTAATTTATTAAGAAATTTACTTACCGAAATATGGAATGAATTGGATAGACGACGCCATATTTTGTCCTTTCTTCAATTTTACGGTTTTTCCATTCCACTCAATCGTAGCAATATATGGCAGCTGCTTTTGCACCAATTTGAAATTTTCTCCTGTTTTACAACCACGAAGATGACATTAACATTTAAACTTTTAAGTGCGTTATAGAATATAGATAAAAGCGATATATATTTTGGCGGTTTTGGAACAGCGCATTGCGTTTCGTACCTGGTAGAATCCGAGTCATTTCATTTAGATGACTCGTGCCACTTCGAGTCTTCGGTGAATGGTGAATAGAGTCCAACTCGAGTCGAGTCAATGACACGAATTTACCATAGACCAATTTTGAATCGCTATGATTGACGCTGGGATCAATTACTGACTGTAACCATGCTCTTAGATTATTTGCTTTTAAATTTAACAAAACATAAAAAAACGTATTTGAACATTACGAGAATGGTTAGAAAATAACCGCACAAACGTAAAAAAATCATATAAGCTGGTGAAAGGTATACCAATTATATATATATATATATATACCAAATATGGACAGGAATACTGTAATAACATACTCCGTAAAAATTTGCTTGCTATTGTCGTTACATCACTCCACGATCCAACTCCAGCCTTATTTGCGGCACGTACTTTCAAGTTAACATCGCTCTTTTCTTGTAGAATTTCACTTGAAGGTGGAATTCGAAATTCCAAGCCAGGTACCGTATGAGATTCGATAAGATTATCAACACCATTCTGTAGCACAAAGAGTAAAAATGTGGGAGCTTCAGAAGTATGTATGTGCACCAAGATGGCGCACAACTTTGACATAGTACGTGTACCAGGTTAGGGTTCAGGGTGTGCGCCATCTCGGTACACATACTCCGGGACCGGGAGCGCCAAAATGTAATGCTATTACCGCATCTATAGTATTTAAACTTTACTGAATACGCGATAAGGTAAGATACAAATAATAAACCGAAAGAATAAGTTACCCAGCGTGAACGTGACGAACATCTTCATTCGTTGAGTTAATTTCATTCTATATCTATGATCTATTTCCAGAGACTTTTCATGACACGTGTCTCCCTCGAAGTTTACGCGCAGTGGTTATTCGCGGAGGCTTCATAATCGGGTTCTACGAGAGGGAGGAGGGGGAATTGGGACATTGGGCTATGTCCCCCTCGCGATTAAATTCGGATATTTTGACTTCACGTTTTTTGGTGCCATGGCGTTGTATTACAGCTTTTGCGCAGTTGAAAAATTCAAATACGACTCGTGATATATTTAGTTAAGTTAAATTCGCTATGGCGTAATAATACAAATGGATGACCATCGAATATGAAGCTACGGTATAATCACCGCTGTGTAAAATACAAAATCATGATGTATGATGATGTTACACATTTTCCAATTTTAAAAGCCGCCTTCCTCATGTATGTCTGAGTACTGAGCAATACTTTTGAGCACGAAAAACTGCCCAATACGAATCTATTTCTGTACAACATACCTGGATACTATTATATGAAATCTGATAATAATCAGCTTTTTGTAGTTTGTGGCCAAGGGTCCATTTTATGTCTGTTGGCCTTAATGCAGCGTCATCGGCAATAACACTTCCTTCAGATTGTATTGATTTGAGTTCAACTTTGGTAAGAGAATCAGGTTCTGCACAAAGTTGTAAATATAAGTTAAATGTATATACGTTGTACTTGTGAGGTAATACAAAATTGAATTATAGAATTACGCGTGGTCAATATAGCCCGCGCCTACGAATGCTCATATAGGTTCAAGAATAAATAATTTCAGTTGGTGTCTCGAAAATGCCGTGTCCCTCTTGTCCCAATTTGCATTCGTGTTGTACGGGAACTACAAATGTGCATTGCAATGCCTGTTGTACGAACTTTAATACAATAATTTTATAAAAAATTAATTATATATATAAAAGTTACTTAGAATCAATGCAGAAGAAAGAGTCCGTAAAAACTTCTGGTTGAGTGTTGAAAGTCGAACAAAATGTATTTTATTGTCGTCTTACTTTTAATAAAGTCGAGTGCTCCCAATGTATTTTTCATATCCTCAGCATCCAAATATACGGGAAGTAATGATCGCAGAGGAGATTCTTCCACGTAGAAAGAATTTCGAAATTGAGAATTATCTGATTCGGTATCACGAGAACCATACACAGAATTTGACAAATGACTGATAGCTTCTCTCGTTCTTGAGAAAACAAAAAGTTCAGCATTTGTTAATATATTTTTTTATATATAATGAATACATGTAGCTAACGTAGCTTTTTTTATACAGCTTTCTCTTCAAACTAAGGCGCTCTAGAAGTGTGTGTACCAATATGAAGGCAACTAGTTTTGTTCGCCCACTTTACATCAAGTTGTGTAAAAGGACGGAAGACTAGAAGACTATGGGATGGGGGTATATTCACTTAGCTAACACAAACAGTCTCCGAACTCGTAAAAGAATTAAAATAAGGAAACTCTGAATACAATTATGGCCTTACTCTAACCTGGTGCAATCACTACGGAAGTAGTAGTACCCAAGACTCCCACAAGCAGACACTGATATGCAATATTTGCTTTATTTTGGAAAGACGTTACCTACCCAATTTATTACACAATGTTCCGGACGACTTGACCAACGTATCTACACGTTGAAATGAATCTCCAAGGTGGATAAATTGGTAATAAGCAAACGATATTTAGTGAACGTTTCCGTTGTAGTAAGTATGTAACGTTGTAAGTATATGGACTTTGTCTGCCCAATTTATCACACCTTGGTTTAGACAACTAGACCAACGCACCCACAAGTTGCAATGAATCTCCAATAAGAGTATCATAAAACCGTGAATGCTAGCTGGTGAATAAACTGGTAAGAAGCAATCGACCTTTTGTCAACATTTCCGAAGTGCAATGATATTGGTAGGTTTTTTTTAATGTTATACAAGCATTTAATATGAGTAATCTTATGGTAATAAGGATATCAAACTATATTAAGGTGAAGTATCTTTCTTAAAATGAATAGAGCAGTAATAATCATAGCATTATTGATCAGTTTTATCGTAGAATAAGAGCACATGTCAGAATAAATGATGGAAATCACTCAAATATTGTAAGTACGCGAAATATGGAAAGGCATAAAAATACTCAAGACTCACCTAGTTTCCACCATTTTGTATGTTTGTAGAAAATAAGCTGGATCTGTTTCAAGTAAAACTTCTTCCGCGAATGCCATAACACTCGAGTATAATACGTTATCTTTCAAGTTCTGTAGCGCTGCAAAACAGGAACAGACAAAGATAGAAGGAACGAATATAGTAATATTCTTTAAAGATTTCTCAAATAAAAGTTACAATTGACAATGGTTAAAAGGATAAAACATGATTTCCTAATGGGGACTTAAATCCGTTTGCTGATTCTAATTTCGATGAGCAAAAATTGGTAGATTGAAGTTATTTGAATATGACGTTTGCCAAAGAAAATAGTATTTTAGTTGAACTTCAAGAAAGAAAACTCAAAGAGATGATAGTTACTTCGTCTCAGATCCTTTTCTTTTGTCCTTGCTGTTCTGTCGGCAGATTCCAGTAGTTCGGTTCGTTTTATCTCTAATAATTTATGCATTTCATCGATCGCGGAGTGAATTTCGTCACGTACGTCGGCTTCTTCAGCCTACAATAATATCGAAAACAACAAATACTCTGTAATCTTTGATAGCAAATTATATTCGCGATATTCAAAATTTAACAACTCATATTGTTATATTCCCCATAAGCTTTTGACATTTCGACACCCTATGTCAGATACAGAGAATACGATTTACTTCTGATGATTTTCTATAATTAGCTTTCACACGTTTGAGGCTATACACCACCAGTCTCTGGAGAGCTTCGAGAAATTTTCACGAAATCTAGTTTTGAGAGAATTTAAAACTTTGTTACAATCTGGTATATAGGTGTTGGTTGAGTTTGTGAACATGTTTAATATGAAATTATGGGCACTTGTCAGTTTTGGCACATTATAGTTAGCAGTGACGATATACAGCGATAATCTCTTACCGCCAATATTTTGACATCTCTCTCCACTCTCTCAATTTGATCTTGAGTTTCTAATTCTTTTTCTCTTAATTCATCCAACAAAGAATGAAGCTGTGCTTTGCTTTCTCTGGAAGTATCAATCATAAATGAAATTACAATTTGACAACATTTTTCCTGAATAAATTTAAGTAAATATGGATATGGTTCCGGAAAAAGAGAGATAGATGGAGAAAGGCGAAGGAAGATAATTTCAAAATTTATTAATTGGCTTGTGACATCCCAAAGCGACTTTTTATACAGAAACATAATTTGCAATGCACATGTACGCTTTAATGTAACAATAAATGAAATATAATGGTAAAACTTGATTCTTGAGGGATATTTTAAAAGTTCCATTTGAGAATTTTTATTGACATATTTTCATATTTGTAGCTTTTTCTTCATAAATTAAGATTTAGCAAGAAACTTTGAATATTTGTTTTGTAACATTTTCGAATTAATCCAATTAATTTTATGACATAATGTTATTTAAATTTAATAAGTTAAAATTAACACGAAACTTTGACCGCTTTCTTCGGGCTTTAAAGCATTGTTTCTTAATATTTTTTATTCGAGAAAAAATATTACTTACTTGTACGCGTTTTTAACAGAAATAGTTGGGTGATTAGAATGTCCTCCTCTAGATTTACAAACTTTGCAAACAGAATGTTGACATCTGTTGCAATACATCGTCACAGCTTCGTTAGAATGTTCTGGACATAACATCACCTACATGGAAATATCAGGAAAAAAAGAGATGAATATATCATTCATTATGTGAATTTTCCAAGCCTAATTTTACTATACTGCTTTGAATCCTAGAAAACAATATTTTTGGTGATGCATTCTAAACCTAAACATTACAACGCGATAGTTTAGGCTGCATAATAGATTTCAATATCCATGGCCGTTGTACAAGCTCTTCGAGCATACACAGAATAAATTAATTGCGTTTGATATGCAATTTATTTAGTTTTGAGCTAATTCGTTTCATCGTGTGAGGTAGCTGGCATGGGAGTGACGCATGATTTATTAGAAGAACCAAACGTTGGATTGTAACCGGCAATGCCAAAAAATTGAGACACCGAACTAACCGCTTCAACTAATGGAATAGTTTAGAAATATACTACATCTAAATAATAGCTTTTGTTTAGCAAGAGTAAAATTAGTGTCTAGCAAACCTCATGTAGTTATTAGTGAAGCCATATGTTTGTTATTGGCAATGAAATCGTCACAAACCTTAGGTCTGGAAAAATTACTCGTCGGTCCAATGAATTCATGTTGTGCTTTCTTCGTTCCCCAAACATGAACAGTCTTGTAACACTGGTTACAGTAGCTAAGCTGCAATTCAAATAGTTGTTGATATTGAATCTTATCCTAAAAGTTATCTTTTCCACGGTAAATGTACAATTAAAATCTTTTATTAATGTGACTATTGCGCAACAGTAACCGTAACTACAGGCGTTAAAAATATATACTTTTCAGAACTGTAGCAAAATATATTTGAAATCCCATTCTGGTTTGCTGTAAAAGTAGCAAAGGCTATACTGATTATACCAATGATTGGCGTCGCCTATCGTCTGATCGGAAAAACGAGGTGAACTGAACTCCTTTGAACTATACATATGGAACGGAGTAAAACTTTTGAAACGGGTGGTATATTTTTGTTTCGTTTCGCGAACATCTGACTAAACTCATTAGCAGTTCGTTGATAAGAGAAAATAACCTCCAGAAGTATGTGTACCAATATGGAGGTAACTAATTTTGTTTGCTTATTTTACATTTAAGTTGTGTAAAGGGACGAAAGCCTATTGGAAAAGGGTATATTCATTTGGCTAACACTGACAGTCCCCGAACTCGTATTAGAACTAAAATAAGGAAAATCGGAATAAAATCGGCATAACCATAACCTGGTATGCATACTACGGGAATACCTTACCTTGCAATCAAGACATGATCTGGTAGCATCTGCGGCGGGTGGTTTACAATATCCGCACCTGATGGCTTCAGCTGCTCTTGCAGCGCTTCGAAATCTTTCCACTATTGATTCAAGGGCAAAATTACTGAAAAGAAATAAAATAATTCTATGAAATTGCTTCAAAAAGAACAAAATATTGATTTGGTCTATATTCCCACCGAAATAATCCTTTGATTCCCAGTTTTCCGAGTTGAACCGAAGCTTCGCATGTTGGACAGAATAAAGAGGAAACTTTGCTTCTCTTAATCGCGTTTGTATCTGAAAACATGGTAGCATAAGCACTTTTTTGAGATAAAATATGCGATGACACAGCAGGGGTGACATTTTCCTGCATATTCCACTATAGTCGATATTGCACGTAATTGGTATTTCGCGCATATTGCGCCACCACCTGACATTCCCTTAATCTAATCCGCCATCGTTTCAGACAAACTCTCTGATCAGCTGAGCCCGTAACCGGTACTATATACGGTGTAATGCGGCGGTAGGTCTTGATTTGAATCTTGTTTTGAAGGCTTGATGATTGAATATAAAGCGGTGTAGGTCGCATAGGTTCTGCGGTACTGCGGGTAGTCGTTTGACGCTCGTGTATGATGTGATGTAATGATTCCGACTTATAAGCTCGAAAAAATGTTGTTGTCTGTTAGCGACTGTTTCATATGATCCACAAACAATACAACTTATAGTCGCCCCACTAATTGGCGAGATATTGTGCCTATATAATCGGCTTTCAAAACAAATCATCTCGCTTCCCATCGAGGAATATTAAATTAGGTTCGGATTTGCGCATGCATGGCTGAATGTAATATATAATTATTAAAACATACTCACTGCCGGGACTTATTTTAAATCAATAATTCTTTTTTTCATCAAGGGGGTCATGGGTTCGCTTTTGGTAATGCTATACTACATGAATAATTCAATTTGGCCTAATTTTGGGCAATTTTATATATGTAAGCAAATATACAATAGATTGGCTATGACAAAACCTGATGACAAAACCTGAACTCACAGAAAACTAATGACAATTTTTTGAGAATATTAATCGCAACGTAGTGTTAGCACCTTTACCATTATATCACCAAAAATATGTTTGAGAAACACTGCAAAGACGAAGATAACAATTCCCCAAAATATAATTAAAACACTCGTTCATGACCACAAACACCTTTTTAACGACCTGGCTGGAAATACGCGCAGTAGAATACTTTTAAAAACTCTGGGCGACATGTTAGTCAATCGTATTATTTCGATTCTAACCTCTGCGTTTACTGCTCCGGAGTGAAGATCGTCCAGCTATAAATGACGCTGATGTTGATCTTCTCAGCGACCCTGATGATGAATTGATTACGTCAGAAGTGGGCGTAAATGTTGGAGAAGTATACCCGTGACGATGGGGTGTCGGACTACCGTTAATCGCAAGTCCTGTACAAATGAAAAAAAAATTCGATTGATAATTCTAAGTTCAAAGGTCGTTGGCATGAAATACAAGAGATTTTACTTATTTAACTTACGGGAACTGAGTCACGTTTAACTGACAGATCATGATCGAAAGACTGTATGCTTCGTTGTGACGATTGTCGTGAAAAGTTGGGCGAATTGGGCCTTGGTTCTGGAGTTGAAGATGCCAGAAAACTAGTCTGAAAACAGGTTTTAATATACAATAATAATGGTTTATAACTAAATTTGGGTGGGTAAAATAAATTACCTGTGAAGTAACAGCTGATGCATTTGCATCTTGGCGTTTGCTTGCAGTCGAGTTTGTTCCACGAGGAGATGAATAGAATCTTAAGTAAGAAAACGTTATTCATAATTCAAGTAACATAAAAATGTTAGAATATATACGTAAGAAGCGATATTTGCATTGGTTTAATCGTTCAAATAGTATTTGGCGGGAATTTCAGCCTAAATGTATGACAAATACAATCATACTTGGGTAGATAAGCACGAAGATTGTTCGACTTCTTTTTAGCAGACACCTGACTTTCGGATTTGCTTGTATCGACTTGACTGTCTTCATTGTGAGTACCGTTAACTTCCGAAATAGACGAATCAGGTCTTATTCGAAGTGATGGTGAAGCATCACAACCATTTTTGGTTCCATTATGCGTTCTACTTAGAGATGACTCTGATGGAGTTGACGTCAATCGTCGTGAGCGTTGTTTCAAGTCCGATGCAGACGAACGACTTGTCAATGGAGTGGTATTTAGTGTGACGTCGCTCGGATTTTCCTCCAGTTCGGTGGCGAGAATTTGTGATCTGGCGCATCCATAACATACGCTGTGTTGGCAGGGAAGCAAAACTGGATGTGTCAACAACTGATTACAGACGGGACAAAGCAACAAACTTCCATACTTCTCAACCTGAATATAAAAAGATTTAGGTATTGCTTTATTTGCTGGTATCGTTAATCACATAGCAACCTATGTTTGACATATTGGGTCATGAGTCTAGGAATGTAAGTTTCGAATATTTTATTTTCGAATCGAATTCCAAATCGGATGTTTCGATTCGAATATTTCCGAATCTGATTATATTTAGTATAACATCACATTATCGTTAACCTTAAGTGTGATAAAATATCAATAAGGAACTTGAAGAATGAGTCATGTAAATAGAAAAACACATCGAATGAATGCATCAACTACATAATATATAAGAAAAAAATATTTTTGAACCAAAATAGAACCAAGACGTTTTTCCCCAAATTGCTTCGAATCAATTCGAATTGAAGTTGATTCGAATCGCTTCGATTCGAAATTCTGAAACTTACATCCCTAGTCATGACCTGGTATTGGAAATGATTTGTAAACAACTGACGAGTGACGAATGATTTCAGTCGCGGATAGAATCGAAATATTAACAAAATATACAAGGTTGACTTGTCGACCAGTGATGCAAGTTCAGCATCATTTAATTATCTTCAGCTAGTTCCATTTCTGAAATGCTTTATTGTGCATTGGCTTGTGGGAATTAGCTTTTTTCACATAAGATATTTTATCGCGTGACAAGCCTTCAAAAAATGTAATAAAAACCAATTTCAAGATCGGGGAAAGTCATTGTGTTCTGTAATAACAACTTTTGAGTCAACGATCGATTTAATCAGCGAGGATACATCAAAACGAGGCCACAAGCTGTCATGCTCGCATATTAGTGTCTGGTTGTTACAAAAATATAATTTAAGAGATCAGAACAAGTTCGATCAATTATGTTTCAAGACGATATATTCATCAACTACGCTTGAAAAGTTTTAATTATTCCGTATATGACTATCATGACTTAATGTTTTGCAAGAATTGTTAACGGCAGCATATAAATCGATATATGTGTTTGTATATTAGAATAACCAGATGGCATTCGCAGAAAGACAACAAACTTCGACTAATAGACATTAAAGAAACAATACCGTATTGATTGCTTAAAAATAACTATTTGCATGATATTAATATTAAATGCATACATTGACGTTATGTATATAAGGTTATTCACAAAGGTCATGGTTATTTTAAATACAAAGTTGGAATATATTGTACTGAACAGATGTTATATCTGTGATACAATAAAATCCCTAGTTTCAGGAGTATACAATATTATTAAATAAATTTTCTATATTTCAACAGGCCAGAGGGTATTGTAATGAGCGAGATAGCTAGTATACTTGGCCATAATACAGATCGAGCCGCTGTGGAAATGTCACAAGTGCACTCGAGTTTCCGGATAAGTCAAAACCTACTCGATAAAGGGAATGTAATCATACTGAAATATTTCATTGTTTACTGATATTCTATCCACATTAACTATGACTGCATAGTCTGAAACCCGTGGGTTTTAGCAACCGCATAAAGATTGAATCCGCGGATATACACATGGGTTCAAATGTACGGTCACCACAATTTAAACCCAGCTAAATTACCACAATATTCTGATTCGTCTATATCCACTCTATAAAAGAGGTCAATTTAACAGACGCTGGGATTTCTCTCTTAAAATATAATTTATAATATAACCACCAATAGTCTGTTATGAAGATTACAAGATGACGAATCTCACCATTTTATCCATAACAGATGCATGTTTCCCACTTGCTTCCCCTAATCGTCTCAAAATAGCATGTCGACACCACATCCTTTCTTGAATAAAAGATATTCAACAAACCAACTAATATTTAACTTCAACTTGGCCTTAACAACATAGCCACTCGAGAAACGTAGCCCATTCTTGGGGGAAGCAAGTTATACACAAACCATGTCTGACTACAGGTGTATGGCGAGTCCCATGCATCAATAAACTGTCACACTAACAAAGGCAACCTATTTATTAAGATATCGTTACTCGCTAACAAAACATACGTGAAGGGCAAAATACACTTAGCACACCACTTTATCCCATATTACCAGACGTAACATTTGTCCGCTAAAGAATTTCGGGCTATTTATATTATACAATCCCTTATCGATTATTTCTACACTGCAGAGCGATTAAGCCAAATTGCGTTCGTACATTATATTACGGAATTGGATCTGACATTGCAAAGTCCTATCCGAATTGATTTGCATTGCCGAGTTCATTCGGGTTTGCTATTGGGCTGTAGTTAATGAAATTGTTATTAAATATACTTGACAAGTATCAGATTTGTTGTAATTTTTTGTAAATGACGATATCCGTTTGATAACGTCATGGTAGGTCAACAGGTGAAACCGTAGATCAATTGGATATATACTAGTAATATATTGGTGAAGCCTATTTGGAACAAACCATATTTAACAAAACAGAATTTCACAGAAAAGAATGTCTTGACTGAGGGTAGAGGCTTACTTCTACGTTCATGAAAATGTGGTATGGAACGCACACTATCATATAAAAAAAAAAACGAGAGCCTGTTGAGTTCAATTTAGTAGCTTGTTGAGCCTTATTCTGCGGATTGAAAATTCACCCGATGAATTTGAACCTCGGACGCTTGTAGGACATGTAGTCGACCTATAGGTCGTTTCGCTAAAATGTTGTTTTTACCCAACTAATGGGCAAATCGATTTCAAATTTTCAATACCTAGTGGTGCAAGAAGACTATTATTTTTATTTTGTTCCAACTTTCCACCTATAGACGCACGAGGCCCGGTATTATTCAAAATGTTGCTTCTTCATTCTAATTTACGGGAATCTTTTTTAAGTAATATTTGGAACACTTAATTCTGTCGCGTTTGTCCAATATTTTCGGCAAACTCGGTCCAAAAACAGCTGACGTCTCTCCGTACATGTGTGCGAGCTTCGTCTCAATTATTTGAGCATTGCTCTCTTGTTACAATTCTACTTGTACGTGGATGGTCATTATTGACTATACCTTATGCAACCTTCTTACAGTTTTTACATCCCACAGGTATTCACCAAAGTAAGCAGGGAACAGTTGCATAACAATTATGAAGCTAACCAATATCTGGCATCTGGTGAAAAAAGAGTGTCGGTAGGATTAAAACTTACCGCTCGGTCGTCATCTGTAAGATCCGATGTCAATGTTGAAATACACGATAAAGTGTCTAGGTCTACACTCGAAGATCCAATATTATAGCCGTCAGTTGATGGAATACTGGCAGACATTTCTAACAATCAGCAGTATACACGTATACTAAACTTTTAAACTAAAATAGTAATTTAGAAACTGGAACGAAAGTTGCGACAGACAGTAGGATTATATTATAGTCCAACATGTATGTACCATCCCTAGCAGGCAGATAGCTTCTAAGCGCCATGCTAACACAGATCGTAATGTAGACGAATAAGCAATTTTGCTTTAGGATACGAAATTCAACTACCTATTAATCATAGCAATTTATTTTTAATACCTAAATCAGGAATTTGGTCGACCATGTACGATTCGAACATTAATTGGACGCTACATATATGTTATATTCAATCAAATATAATTTGGATAAAAGTAAAAGCGAACTGTGCTATTTTTGGATATGAATTGACATGGTTTTTCCAACTTTTAAGCGCGTGGTGACGTAACGATACGGTCGAGCATTATATTCCGCCGTATGCACACACACACGTAATTTAAAGCCAAAAAAACATACTTGAATTTTGGAAGAATCATATAGTTCAGTTTGATTGCTCAATTCATTTTAAATAATTTCCCATTCATAAAGCCGACGAGGCCTGCTTGAACTGCAGTCGGGATCAGAATATACCCAGAACCGACATTTGGCCGTTAAAAATTCGCGTTACGCAACGGTAGGTACACTGCAAGGTTTGGCAATCCGTTGTAGCAACACTGTCATGTTGACAAGATTGTATTGGAGTTACTGAAAAGCTTTACATAAATTTTTGGTATATTCCCAAAAGTTTGACGTAGATGTGAGAAAATATAATTATCCGTCACGTTTTATTAATTTTCTTTCATTTTGGATGCGGTTGTCACCAAGATGTCATCAGTCCATTTCTCGATTAAAATCTATTGGAGAAATTAGTTTAGAACGTGTAGTAAAGATTTCTTGCTATCGACTAGGTCAAAAATTTTGCGTTATTGACTAGGTCATATTTTAAGGGAAGGACTTATATTAAAATCATTTTTAAAACTCAGCCCACGTCTTATTTTCAGGGTAGGTCTTATTTTCGGGGAAACACGGTTTATTACACTGCCGAAACTTTGAAAGGGATACTGTTCAGGCAAAGATCCGAAGTATTGCAGATGAAATCATTCAATATTGCAATTCCAACTTTGCAAAGAACTAATTTCATCGCATATTGATCAATGGTGCTCTGTTGGCTCGATTTTCTGTTCTAACAAGGCATTGCAGGAAAGCGTTAAATGCTCGTATCACCAGAGCCGATCTGGCTCTATACGAAACTAGAAATTAACTTACTAATTACAGTACATCTGTTTGTCTCGTCATTCTGTCAACTTCACAAATTCTTAGTATTCTGTACGTCATACAAGGCAAAGAGTGCCCTAATCCTAAAAAGTATCGCTGGTTTCTCAAGCGATCTTTAAATACTTATGATGTGGGCAAACTTGTACTCGAATATAAAATCTATACATTATTTGCTCAAACTGTCTGAAGGACTTTCCTTCTGTCATTCAGGACTTGAGAATGACTTTCCCATATACACACTCCTCACTTATAGAAGTCGAAAAGCATTCGGCGAAACGCGTCCTGACGTAACCCCACAAGCGAATACTTGGCCTCAACTGGAACACGACATATAGCCAGTATCGTGTTTATCATTTTGCATCACCTGTATGTTAATTGCTCTTTGTTGGCAATCAAAACAAACTGATTTGCCAATCAACTCACACCAGCTGTTTTGGATTTAGTTATTCCTCGAAAACGAACACTTGATGTACAGACCAAAATATTCTTCATTAGATTATGGCCACATTTATAGACATATGTGGTCAAGTTATATGGCGTGGTTAATATGAGTAGAGGAAAATTATGTCGTTTCACGTTTAGCTACGTTCGCCACCAGAACGAGACTTATCAATCTTTGACCTAGATCATACAAAATTGGATTTAATTAATGTCGAAACAATCTGCAGATAAAGGCATTGTTTTGACCAAATCACAACCTCGCATACAGATTGAAGCAACTCCTTTTATCTCATTTTGGGGTTTTGAGCAACATTGCACCAGTCAATCAATATCAGAAAGTCGAGCAAAAGGCAAACTACAAATATTATTCTAATGATGGGTTTGTGATTAAAACATACCCTCACAATAATCGGTGTCTTTTGGGAGAAAATCCTTGTGAGCACAATCGTTTTTACCGTGAATCGTATGTTGCAAATTATATATATATAGGTAAATCTTAACTCAGAGAATATAAAAAAAATTGTATTTTCCTAAAATCACAATGGTTTAGAACAGCTCTTTGTTCAACAGTTCTTGCTGTAAAAGTCCTGCTTCACTTACAGACACATAGAACATTACGAACTATACACAAAGCAATATTTTAACAAAGCGATTGATTTTGTAGACCTGAAACGAACTGTACGGCTTGATTTAATGTTCTGTTTGTGTATTTTTGAATATTTCTTTTTGTTAACAGGAACCGGAAATCTGCCTTTCATTTTTGTTTTTGTAGTCACCGGAAGCTGGCGCCATGGAGGGATTGTTTGACCGTGAGGTCACGCAATATCCGAGTCATTAAAGCTGGTATTGTCTTCAAAGAGAATAACATTATTTATCTTAAAAATATCATTTCAAGTGGTTAAAATATGGCTTTCTTTTTAATTTGTATCTTTGTGTACAATCCTCGTGTCTTGTTAAACGAAATCGAAATTTTGGTGCAGTTTTTCAATACATGCCTAACTATTGAGCCAACTTGGCAAGTCTGTAATTGAATAATTTTTGCTGTTGACAATTTCACAAAAGATGAAAGGATACAGTTCACTTCAAGACCCAAGCTTCAGCCTATACTTTCTTATATGAGGTAAAAAATTATTTTCCTGGAATTTCAAAGCTGATGGTCTAAAATTAATGAATGTGTATAAAAAATTCCACACATGACAAAGCAGCATATGAGTTAAATTAAAACAGCCTTTGTTCTTATGGAATTTAACATTTTAACCGATCCTTTATATTCGTGACATATTGCGACCACATTGTCTTTAATTCTGAGCATATAAATGTTGTATTTACACAATGACGATCACTTTATTCTTTACCTAAACTAGATTTATGGTTTTACGACTTGTGGCAACCCATCCTAGGATTATACGTTTGAGCATGCGGTTGAGATTTTCTGTTCGCCTTTAAAAATACATTCGGAAGAAATTAATTGACTGTAATTTCACTGTAGTTAACAACAATACTAATATTAAAACAGGTTAGTTGATACATTTTTGTCAGTTTATGATTCGAGGTGAAATTCATCTTTTACCTTCTTGGGCTGAAGTTTATATAGTGAAGTATGTATGAGTGTTTAAATGACGTGAAAACCTATAAACTTTACTGGGTCTTTCTCCCGTATAAATAAACGAAGAAAGTCTAAGCAAACATTTTAAGTTGTAAGCGTTCTCGAGGCGTATGAAATGAAATATGATGGTGATTTAACATGTTGATGTTGCCATGCAGGTATTTTGAGACTCTAGTGTCAAGTTTTTGAACTTAGTTTTCTGTCACAAGATTCTGTCAGCTGAACGAACTTAAAAATTAATAATTCTTGAAAAATGGAAGTGCGATTAAGTTTTCGCTTCTTTGTGTGGTTAATGTGGAAGTAATGGTTGAAATTTTAATTTTATCATTTCAAATTAAAGTGATTTAGGACCTAACCACATAATAAGTTGAGTTGGAAGTCGGATGGTTTATTTCAATTCAATATCCATCTTGATGTTCAAATATAGGGCGCCGGTCCAAATATAGCGGGACCCAGGAAAGTGAGTCTCATCTAACATAGGCAATAATGCAAAATGTAGCAGACTCGTCAAAATAAAGTTTGAGCTGACGCTAAATCTGGCGGGATGTTATAATATATCATCGAATTGAATGCAAATAGCAGTCCTAAATTGACAGACTTTCTGTTTGGTTGTATAGAATATTATTCCAACATACATATATGTATATTTAGGCGCCACTTACTATCTCAGTTACTTTTGAGTTAATGTTGCCGAGATATGCTCTGATGTTATATGTTTGGATATTTTTCAATTAAATTGAAAATATTACAATGGGATGTGGAACATCAACATCTGTAGTTGTGGAAGGAGATACAGGGAGCAAGTCGAAAGACCAGCAAAGTAAGTGTTTTAATTTGTTACGTGGTATAAAAAATAAAATATTCAAGAAATTCGAAAATACGTAAATGAAATAACATATAAAATAATTGATTTATTCTATGTCAATTTGTTGCATGCTAACCGTGATCTTCAAGATATAGTTGAGATCAGTTTAGTCGGGCGCAAAGGGTCCGTCCGACTTGTCTCTATTTCATACATTTCTGACATATTTTTTGCCAATAAAAGTTCCTCTATTACCAGTATGTGTTAAACGTCTATGTAGCAAGAAAATCCATATGAATGCTATGAACTACTGTATTGTTTATTCGATATTGGCCATATCGTATATATATATGAAGTTTATTTCATATAGAACTTCCCCCCCTATTTTTTGCGATAGGGCGATTGTACTGAAATCGTCATGTGCAACCATCATAATACGAATACGTGACAGTATACATAATTATTGGTTACTAAGCCATATAAAATATTTCGTTTACTATGCCATAATATGACGCTCGTAGACACAAATATTGAACTTAACGGGCACAATGTATACTTTGAAATTTGCTTCTTGTAAGACACCACATGAGAGTGAAAGCGGTGGGATTATGGGAGACGATAATTGGATTTCATGGAATAGTTGTAAAGTTATCTGTTACAGCATGGGTTAAATTAGCAATCCAGAATACATCGCGAAGTATCGTTTTCAACAACGGGAATGTATCAAGAACACCTCTTTTCCTGACTGTCAATAAAGATATAAACCCACAATTCACATGGATACTGTGCCTGTAAAACTATCGAATTGCAGATCGACGAAACAAATTCAAACGTCAGGCAGTGCTTGAATTACATGTCTGAGAAATCGATTAATCAAATTTTTGCGTGACAGACTTTTGAACCATAAATTCATATTTCCCACAAATTTGTCGATTTCACCAGTTTCATTCCTCTGTGCTGGTTAGCGCAAACAGTCTTGACTTGTTTAAGCATATTACTTGAATTGGCTCGCAATTGATAACTCGCTAAAAACTGTGGTGTAGAAACTTGGTTGAACACCCGCAACCACCAATGAATGAGAAATACCGCTGATATATATAGCTAATTGACCAAAATTATTTGTACAATTTTAAGTGGGCTTTCTAGTTGTCCAAATATGTTAGCATTGCTTGCTAGAAATATCGGATTCGATCTCTGCTCATTTACAGTGTCATTGATTTCACACGCAGGATGCTAGAGAACCCAAGGTTTACAGATTCTTAAGCTATCAATGTGTGTTTGCCCTCGTTAAGTTCAAAGACCATTGGATACCTAAAACTCTTTAATTTCTGACAAGTTTGTTTTTGTCTTGTTGGTATATTGTATGTTCAAAGATAGAAAATGTCTCTACTAAAAGTAGAAAGATTACTGACGAGAGGCAGACATTATTTATTTATTCCCTCAATGTTTTATTATGTGACAAAGCCAGACTGAAAACCATGAAAATCTATCGCAATGAAACAATAAAGACAATATTGTTCCCCCGGGATCCCGAATTAAGCACACGATGACAAATTCGCATAAATATATTTTTCCTAGACCTTGCGCCTACTGTTCGTAACGGCTAGAAATAGACTCGGGGTTTAGGGTTAGGAATGGGGAATCGTGGGCCATTAATAAATGAGGTTTGACAAACTTAAATTATCCATAAGTCAAGCTTCGTGATGAGAAAAATTGAGATACTGGCTCATAGGAGACGGTTGAAGTTGTTTGTTTAGCAGACGGGCTGGCGATTGTCTTGTGATCGTTTTGTTTGTTTACATCCAACGCTTGTTGCGGAGTTGAATTATGGCGTGGAGTTAATATTTTACGTCATAATACTTGTTATGAAATCTTGGAATTTATGTTACGTGATCAAATTGCCAAATCAACATCAATTCCGATAAATTTATAAAGAATTACTGAGTATTGTTAGCAAACAATCTTCCTATAGCCTCTCGGAATTTCACAGATTTCAGTTGAGATGATTCAATAGAAGCTTGGGGTTAGGATGCATATTCTGATGATAAAACTGATCTAGTATTTTGAATAAACATATATATAATTAACGGTATGATCCTCGTTTTTGTCGTATGATAAGCATTTGAGCAAGGGTTTACTTAGCAATAGAAAACTTTGTGGGGGTTGCTCGTAATTAATTAATATTGAATTGTTCTAACAAAGACTTAAAAATAACCCACGTTATGCATCACGGATGGGTATTTGAATATTTGGGGTCCTCGCCTAAAATAGAACCCATAAATTACTTTTACGACAGTGCAGAAATTTGATTTAACACTGTTTGTATATGGTTATACCCGGAAGTTTTAGTACTCTAGGTGTAGGAAACTTTGCATCAAATTTATGTTCTCTCTAGAATATGTATGCCTAAATGATCTGAGTTCTGTTTCTGGAGTCTCCCTGTACACATATTTCAATTGCAGGAAGAAATTCGAGTTCATTGGAATTTTAGCAACATACACTCTTTAGATTCACTTCACATCTTTTATGATTGATGCACATCACGAATTTTTCGATTATGATGTTAGGCATTGATACATAAGATCGATTCGCACGCGCAAGGCGTTATCAGGCCAAGAGTTTAGTCGGAAACATACTTCGTTTCCGGTAGCATATCATATGTACCGTGAATTAGGCAGCGTTTATGTCTGACGCACATCTGTATCTTGTTGCATAGAGTGATGACGCTTGCATGCACGGATCCGGAAACTCGTGTTGCACACTTACTCGCTGGTGTATCGTCAACATGAAACATTTACAAATTCATTCATTTCGCGTATCAGCCAGTTGTTACACTGAAGTTCATATTCGAATGTTGATCTTATGTGGTTTCTTTCGTCTATTTATTAGATCTGACTGATCGTCGTATTGACTGTGAGTTTGTTGAAAAGCCAAACCAACCTAACCACATATTCTCGAAGGATTTTAGTTTTAAAACAATTGTGACAAAGGAGAAATGTTATGAGAAGTATATTTAGTGTAGCGAGCTATAGAGTGCTTTCGGTACATCCAAACAGGTGCTCAGACGTTTGAATCGCGATTGCTAGTTAGAATATACATTTTTGTTCACCCTATACTTCAGATTGCGCGAGTACTATGCGTGTAATATACTATGTTCAATGATGATGCAGTAGTATTCAGATTTTCATATTGGGTTAGGATATCTATATTTTATAACGACGTATACAGTGTCATCGTGTGTTCATTCAAACTTGCATCTAAGTGTCAGAACTTTGCAATTACTGACAAATAACTGACCGCATTTGCAAGTAATGATGGTAAGATAATGATTCTTAAAAACGTCCTTTTAATCCAGTCTGTTCATATCTCAAATGTGAATTTAAAAACAAATCGAATCTTGATTGAAAAAAATTGACAAAAAAAAAATATATATTTATGTATATATTATTTCTGAAGGATAATTTTCAGGAATATGCCAGAGGAAACATCTTCCTTATTTCTGCTATAAGGCCTGGTGTATCAAATAACGATTGGGTACATATATGAATTGTCCTTAACTTACATGCGAGTGGGTTCTTAATTAGGTGTGACGATCGTATTCTTGTCTGATTAATTTTAAATTTACCAGGTGTATGTTGAGTCAATTATTCACAAAAGTAATTTAATTTTAATTTTAACAAATTAAAAAATTAAGTTAAGAATGTAAGCTTTTTGTTAAGCCACAGTACAGAAAATCATTAGTTGGGCTATGTCAGAAGAGATTATGATCTCACTAATCTCTTTGCTTCTAACGTTTATGAAGACTCTGCTTCAGTAGAGATTAATTTGTTTTAATAAAAATAAAGTTTCATAAATAAAGTGTTCCAATATTTGACTAGCGCACAATTTCCTGAATCACTGAGTCATTGAAAAATTATATTATTTATTTAAAAACAAAAGAAATTGTAATTTGAATACAACATATATGGATTTGAAAATATTTTGTACCCTTTCCGAAATTCGTCAAAATATGAAAATTTGATATCACATCACACAAAGATCACATCTCACGCAAGTTCTCTTTCAGTTCAAAATTAGGTTCCTTTGGAATGGTTTTATAATAATTCGTTTTTGTAAATCCTTTCCGCTTATCAGCCACTTGCGTGAATGCTTAATTTACATATTTTTTCCTGTTACTAAAAATTACATCCGGTTTCAAACGTACCAGTGGGAAAAATGTACTGTTAAAAATCACGAAGAATTCAATATAATTTGAAAAAATTTAGCTAGATCATAGTGTTCTAATCGGGCTCGTTTTAATTAAAATCAGGCAAGGATTGATCATGAATGTTAAAAACCAGGTAAATAATCTTAAGGGTTGGAATAACATATATATTATGGTGATGATACTGTAATTGTATATATAACATATTTCTTTGTAATTATGTACTTTATTCCGACGCTTATACTAAAATACACTAATAATTAATGATGAAGATGATAAACCATCGTTTCTGATAACTTTTAAATACTTATAAATTTGTAAGGTATTATTTATCGATGGGGATGCGATTAAATATTAATTAATGTCATATTGGTCTTGTAATTTTCGTGTTATAATTAGAAAAATTAAATCTCATTATCATCGTAATTTTTGCTACCGCAAAATGTTTTGACTTTTTTTCAGTATTATTAGAACTGAAAATTTCATTAAAACTTTTTCGAGTTCAGAGAAAACTTTCACCGAGAAAGGGCCATAAAACACGTTCATACATCGGCTCATTGTACATCGGCTTGAGCAGAACAGGTGTTAGAATGTTTGTTTTTACGTGTTATTGTGACAACGTTTCTAGGAAATCTAGTTTTCTGGCCGAAGTGGAAGCAGAGGTATTTTAATGAAAAGGGCAGTACTTTTAATTTCGAAATCTTTTATAAAATGTTATATTTCCCATCGTCTACAATGGCCACTACCAGACTACCAGAAAAGGGAATTTTTCCACAGTTTTGCCCCAAACTCAGCAACGAAAACACGTAATTAT